TTCCACGAATATCAGCTGGAACGATGTCCAGAACTTGCTGTAGTCGATAGGTGAGCATGTGCAAACAAAACTATAACTTTCAAAGACTTACATCGCCAAAAATCGATTGGTATGTGGGATGTTGCACTATCGTTGAAGGAAGTCTCCCCAGCTGCTTCCCGTCGACAAGCAAGCATCCGCTAATCAAATTGATGCGCACGTCCTGTGGTAATTGGGAATGCGAAGGTGCAGTCTGCGCCACGAGCCAACGAGAATTCGGAGCTGTCAATGCCATCCAAGGAGTTCCTGGTCTGTAGCTGCCCCAAATTTCGGCCATCGCCAAATCAAGACCCTCCCTGTGAAACTCTGCATATTGGCGAAGAGTGGATTCTAATGTGTGGCAACATCTCCTGTCTCGCTCTAGCAGTAGCTTGGAATGTTGTGGAAGGCTGTCGAGTTGGCTTGGAGTGTTGTCATGAATCATGACCGCACAACATACAAATACTTTGATGTCATCGTTCGACTTCAGGAGCAGCGATGCGTCTCCGTCGACGTCGAAAGTGCTACGACAGGTGACTGCCATATCCCGAACGCGCCCTTGAAAATCTCGGCTGACCGTCTCGTCGTTGCTGGCTTGCATTTTCTCTGATAGTTGCGTCAGCAACGTAAAAGTCGCAGTTCGTATCCTTCGAAGGAGCGCATGTCCACGATTTTTGACACTCTGTTCCTGAGTCAAGGACAAGACGTGACACACAAGCATGATGATAGTGTCGATCGTGACAGCTTCCAGCCAATTTCTTTCAACGCTCGCCATCAAATCCTCCAGCTCTCCGAGTAGTGCACCAAGGAAGGGCACGCTGTTCAACTCCTCATGCCAAATAAAGCTGCCGTCAGACGAAAAGGGACCGACCTGGGAAACTGCTTGGGCCAACAGTAAATGGACCTCCTCACGTCGAAAATTGAGCGTCCTTGCACGGAGTTCACGGAGTACATTCATCCATTGCAAACGCGGTCCACTCCGCAAGGCTCCGAACGCGATGAATTCGTGGATGGTCACGTCTTTGTGACAATCCGCCTGATTGGCCACGACCTCGTTTGACGTGTGGGATGTCCCTGCAAGGTACTGCTGCATACCATCATATGGTCCCTTCGGAAGAAGGAAAGTACACAACCTGGTGGCATCGCATCGTAGCAGTACGTCTGCCACCCATGCGCCTGTCGTTGTGTCGAAAGGCCGAAATTGGAGCCCGTTATTCACACAGACTTTGGTGTCCACCGCAGGAATGTCAGTGTTGCTGTAATGAGACTGGGCGAAAGACTTGGCTTCCGACGCCAATGTGAGCCTTTGTCTTGAATGGCACGTGCGATATTGCTTCAAGGCGTCATATTTTGGTAGGACCATGAAGGGACGAGCGGACGGAATCGTTTCTGGAGTGCAGATGTCAACGTAGACATGAAATGTCATGGATCTCCACATGTCGAACGCAATGGGGCATCCTAGCTCAAACACCACCGCGATCGCCTCATTTCCACAGGCTGGTAGTGGCCACTCATGAACCGTAATAGTCATCGATCGCATCTCCTTTTCCAGGCGACACTTGTCACAGCGTCTTGGCTTATGTATTTTCTTGCCGCGTATGGAGAATTCGTACGTGTGCGACAAACTTTCTGCGGCTTTCTCCTTGTCTGTGTACCTCTGGTTCATGGTCTGGAGCTCGATCAACTTATTCTCCCGCTTCTTCTGAGCTTCTGCCTCGATGTCAACCTTCAAACTCTGCAGCTTGGATGACTGATGAAAATATCGCGCCGCGAACGACTTGTCATCATTGGTAAACGACAATGCTGACAGACGGCTGGAAGCTTGACAATGACGAGCCTTCAGGTAGGCGTGCAATGTCTTCAAACGATCAAGGGCGGAAGCTTGGCGGATTAAAAGACACTCCCAAAGCGTTAATGGGATTTCGGGGGAGTATTCTGCCAGGAGTGGGATTTGTGCAACGACGATCTTATCCATCGCTACCCAGAGCTCGAAAAGGGTGAGAAGCATGATGGACAAATTCTCCGGGTTTCCATTGTAAGCTGTAAGCGCTCTCGAGGAGTACGCAGTGGCGCACGCCTCGATCGAGATGCACGCGGAATCGGTACTCTGGAATGCAATGCGTGTCACCCAGTCGTCGATCCCTAACTTAACGGCGGTCTCGAAGTCTGCGAGTGCAAGAGACGGTTCTGCGGTATGAGCGGTTACTAGAAAACTAGCTCCGGCGTCAAGGAAATCATCGATTGTCCCACGCTTGTGATGGTTGGGATTAGATAAGGTTGTTTTGGTGGAGGAATGCTGGCTCTGTAACGCTTGGCAGATGTACTCTCGGCTCGTGTTCAAGGAAAGATGGGTATCTTGCAAAACTCGGAGGGTCTCTGGAGCCCAAAGAGGCGAGGCCCGTTGTGCGTTCTGAACAGATCCCCATCTTTCCTCCAAGACACTCCTTACATCACCGGTGACCCTACTGACTATCTGCGACAACTCCGAGGATGAAGAAAATTCAAGCTTGAAAAGGCGGCGCGCAATCTTTGCTGACATAAAGTGTAGAATGTCGTTCGATAAGTCACGGTCGAGGGCGAGGGTCGTGAGTCTCGACATGAAGAACAGCATGAACGATTTATACGTCGTTCGTCCGAGAGCATTGCGCTCAAGAGTTGTCTGTAAGGCAACGCGAATCACAAGCCAGAGTGGAGAACGCCTCCACGGCAATTTCGCGCTGTCCCACAGCACATCATCTCCGATGCGCTTGCGGATGCGAGGAACATCAGCGATGCTCCCGAGGCCACGCAATATACCGGTCAGGAGCTCTGTGATATACCGTGGATGCGTGGTGCCCCTCTCTTCGAGAACAGTGGATTTAGCCTTTTTCCTCGTCACTGCTGCATCGAGGACATCTTGATCCATGTGGACGAGAAAATTTGCCAGCTCGGCAGGAAAGGTAGCATTGTCAATGTTCATATCTGGGACCGTGATAGCAGGTCCAGGATAGGAACATATCAGCCTTCCCTTTGCGCCCATCACTGCGGTGGGGTCAGGAGAGACCTCAAATGACTCGAATATAGTTTCGGATTCGAGTTTTCTCATGACAACCGCAGCGTTTTGCGCGCGAATCATATATACAAGTACATCTAAAAATTGATACTCAGTACAGAAAAAGAATGCAAATGAAAACAACAGACTTTCAGTTTCCATAGTGTTGATTTGATGTTCGACCTCTCCTGCAGACATGACGCTGAATCTGATTGAATCTTTAAGATTGTTGAGCATTTTCAAGATGTTCGTCCAAAGCTGCAGCTTATCGGACGGTAGCTGGTCGCTGAACGTGGTAGCAGCATCGAATACTTCTTCAGATAAGGCCAGGTCGTTCTCAAGGGACTGGTCACTGCCTTGTGGCAACTTGAGGGGGAGAAATACGTGATTGATGATATATTCAAGACTAGATTGATCCATGTTACTGGTGGGATAAGAGAGAGAGGAATTGGTGACTCACGGTGAAGCCGCGAATCTAATATGGAACCCCTAAGCGCTCATCCTGCCTCACTAGGGTTGAGTACGAGAAGCTTCAATAGGCTGATGCATCACAGAAGTTTCAGTTTCACATCAGATTGATCTGATGTATGCCATCGATACGAGTTGAACGTCGAGGCTGTACATAGATGGCGTATCAGAAATTTGAATTGTTTGCAGCTTCTTCCTCTATTACCTACGGAAGAAAAGAAAGTTCGAACACCACGAGGTGACGGTGAAGTCTGCTTACAAATTCTGCAATTCGATTTCCTCCCGACAAGCTCCGAGGAATTTTCCTTATGTCACATGTGGTTGTTTTCGAGTTCTATGCTAAGCTCCGACTATGAAGACACGAGTCCGAATACGCCTCTCCATATAGGACGCTTCTGTTGCCAGACTTCTACTAATCGAAATGTCAGCCAGCATTGAGTACTGAGTCACTGCACCCGCCGCAGACGTGAGTAGAATACATTTATCACAACTTACAACTGAAATCTTTGCAGCTGAGGTGGTGTGCAGTTAATTTTACAACTCCCAACTCTCATCGAAGCTGAGCACATGAACACTGCTGGCGTTTGTGACTTTGATAAAAACTGGTGGCAGATATATCCGAATAGACTGCTGCAAGTAACTTAGTAAGATGGCCATCGCTGGTACGGAATACTCACCAGAGAATCATTTACCCATTGAAGAAATCACTGAAATTGTCGTGTAAGTCATCATGTGCAACAACAAATATTTAGGTAACTCGGTCGAAGACGTCTTTTCGCTCACTACGTTGTTAGACGTGGGGAAAGACGAACTTCATCCTGAATATCGGATTGATTCAGATGGTAAGCACTTTCATTACAAGAGACTTAAAGACATTCACCTAGAAGATCTACAGCGAGTAACTCCGCTCTGCAAGACCTCATCGATGGGCGATGGACCCTTGCAAATACTTGTTGACCGACGGACATATACCACCAAGTCAGCACCCTTCGCACATATGTTTTCTTTACCGGTAGCATCTTTCCTGTTCGTACATCTTATGTTTGACACTCAACGAAGTCTTCATCGTCGTTCTGCGTCAATGTTGTCCTTAACGTCCGCTGCTAAGACCATGTTCTAGCTTTCATAATATTAGCATTCACTAGAGAGCGCAACATTGTGGCCTCTGCCAGGAGAGTGTCGTCTGGTTTGAGCCCCCACACCTATTTTCAAGACACCAAATTACTGGTGAAAAGGATCGTAACAAGGTAATAAGAAGGAAACAGGGAGCTGAGGAAGGCACACACCCATCGTCTTCCAACCATCGTATTGTGAAGCAGTATACCCCAAGAGCAAGGGGGAAGGAGGTGGAGGACGGACTTATCTGGTTTTCCTAGATAACAGAACTAGAATCCCGTCCCCTATCTCATGATCTGTTCCAGTTCAATGTCTACGTCTACTTCCTGCAGTAAAGAACGACCCGTGTTCAACGTTCAGTTCTTGTTGCTTATCTAGGTGCAGAATGAACGCTAAGTCACATCTCAAAGACGTGCCACGGCTACATTCAAAATATATAGTCCTAATGATAAAGATTGTTCCGGTGCTCTATCCAATCTATCGTGTATCAACAACAGCTTGATTACCTTCCCACTTTCAAACCTCGCCTCGACTACGCGCTTCCGCAAGACTCAACTCAATCGCAAATTTCAAATCTGCATCCATTTCATCTAAATCTGGGGTAGCCCGGAGCTCTTCCTCAGATTGCCTATCATGATTTTCTGTGCTTGTAGAAGACGTGCGCAAGAGAGGTGCGCCAACATGTGGGGATGAAGGCGGCGACCGTAAGGGTGTACTCCACGCCGAACGACTGTGTTCTAGGCTGCTGGTCGATGAGGAAATGCTAGAACTGATCGAGGGAAAGTGTTCGAAAGAGGACGACGTGCTGCGAGCCACGTCCGGTAAAGATCTTGTCCTCGTCGAAGAACCTGGCAGGGATGCAGGTATCCTGAGCGGGCTTATGGTGACGCCGGCTTCCATAGGTTCCGGGACGAAGACAGGAGACACCTGTACTTTCTGATTCGTCATGGGACGTGCGGCACGTGGATAGGTGCGGGAATGGTGATCGTCAAGCAAACTTGGGAAAGACTGGTTCGAAGCCGGTAATGCAGGACCATGGCTTGTTGAAGAACTTGAAGCGACTGGCAAGAACGTTTCGTCTTCAAAGTCACCCTCGAAGACGCCTTCATCGATGGTATGGGAAACTCGGCGATGCTGTTCTTCCTCGCGGGAGAGCATCAGTACATATTCTATTGCCTCCGACTCCGACAGTCCAAGCACGTTCAGAGTGGAACGTTGCTCGCGTTCTCGCCCCATGGTACGTCGCGCATAAGCATTCTCCTGTTCCAGTTCACGTTTGGATTCTTTGATGACCCTGTGCAAATCGTATCGCTCTGCAACATTTGATCAGTCGAGAATCTACAAAGTATGGAACGTGCATACGTTGTCCTTTGGAAATTGGGTTCCTATTCGCACGCTGTTTGCTTTTGTGCGAAGCTTCGCGGTGGTGTACTTGTCCCACCTTCCATGACATCACCCGATTGTCAGCGATAATGACCAAAAGTTCCTGTTCAATCACAATCCTGCTGACGCCTCCAAATTCGCGACCCGGTGCAGCACGCGGGATTGGGGACGAAAAGAGCCTAAGAGGCTCCAAGGTGAGCGCGTCCCATACGGTCGTTGTGCCGCGTGCAGAGCCTGTGGCAAGAACAAGCGAGCTCCAAGCAAGCGCAGTCACGGCACCATCTTCGTGAGCCTCGAATCTGCGAGCAGGTACTACGGGAGATGATGTTTGCGGAGTGTCCCAATCGTAAATGCCAACGGAACCTTGCAGATCGCCAGTGATGATGAAACTGTAATCATCTGGCTGAGCTGCAAAGAAAGGTTCGATGATGGAGTTGTATCCGAATGAAGGATCACCAAATGCGGTGATTTCGTATTTACCGGATGTAAGGTCAACTACGATGCGATAGAAGAACGGGTGATCAGAGTACCCGATGAGTAGCGCTGCCGTTGTCTGTGAGTGACGACGAACACAAAGCACAGTTGGCCGAGGTTTGGGTATGAATATATCCTGGGGAGACGGTTGTACCTTTGGAATGGGCGAGACGATGCGATGTTGTGCAAACGATGCCGGGCTGCAAAAGTCATCCGAATAGACTTGTCGGGACGATGTCCACAAAAGAATGTCTCCGCTATGCAAAGCACCCGCGATGATGCCGTCTGCAAGAGCGGAAGACACCTTAAGGAATGGGTCAATCACAAGCGATTGGAGTTGCTTGTCACTAGACCACAAGCACACAACCGTCTTAGTATCCCACAACTTGACTTGCCCGTCAGCACCTCCGGAAACGAACCGGCTAACAACAGGATCCAACGCAATCTCGTTCACAACGCCGTCGTGGTGATCTTCAACTTTGCATCTAACCAGCTTCGAAGATGCACCCCTAGGATCCATGACCCGAGCAGCCGTAGTGACTGCCACTTCCCCGTTACGCTTGCCCCAGAAGGCCCTGGCAGTGCCGCCATCAGAAGTGAGACGGCAGGTAGAGACGTTGGGTGTAAATTCAACATTAGGATTTCCTATACCCAATCCTGTTCCGGCAGCGTCAAGGTACCCCTTGAGAACTTTGCCGCTGAGCGGAAGCGAACGAGCCACCACTCCGTATTGAATCGAACACGTGAGGAGACCAGACTCGGACATCAGATGGGCGCCGTCGATGGTAGTATCTTGGGGAGAATGAGTAATCGTCCCATTCCGCGAACGTTCCCAGCGCCTGAGGATGAAAGATAAGAGCAGAAACTGAATACGACGCATCCACGAACCTCCTCAAGTTGTGCCTCATGATGAACTCCTTTCTCCAAGTGCCTTCTGACTTCCTTAGTAAGAGAATCCTCTCGTTCTCGAGATCATTCTCAGGACCAATTCCAAGGAATTGGTTGATAAAGGCCCGGTACCAGGTATTATCATCATTTATGTGTTCATTGAGTCGTCGGTTTGTTCTAGAGAGTGCGAGGAGCGACGGGGGAAAGAGGAATGAAGTGATATGAGTAAGAGACTCGGCGGGAATGTCGAGAAGGCTGGTGCTTTGAACGATTCCATGTTGGGATTCTTGATAAGAGCTGATTAAAGTTGGTTTGGCTGTCAATTTGTCTTTTCGGGATGTGTCTATAGACCTTATGGGCATATAATAGCAAGGAGATTCGACTGTCTTTAGTAGCGGCCGCAGAAGACTCCGAGTCCGTGTGCGATGTGGTAGGAGAAGGTTGACTATCAAAATGACTCAGTCCCACAGTGATAATAGGAAGATCATGTGATTATGAAACTCTATGTTACATAACTGATCATGTGAAATTACATCTTGAATAATTTACACTGAGCAGTTACCAGTACCGACAAAAAAAATCTAACTTCATATAATTTCGAGTTCACCATGCCAGCCACGCAATAAAAGACTACAGAAGGATGTGAATTAAAATTCTACCACCGTCATGTAACTTAAAACATACCTTCGGATATCTCCTCACGATGGCTTTGCGAGTTTCGTCCATGAGCAAGATCCCTAACGCAAAGGTGAACGGAAGACCCCAGAACATCCCAGGGATAGGCCTCGTGTAAAACACCTGCTGGAAGCCAGCTCCATAAAGGTTCACGATGCAGATCAATATCGTGCCCGACATGCCGACAAGTACTAGCAGGTTGCGACGCGGGCCCCATAGAGGATTCGACTGTAGTATCGATACTCGGCGGTTGCGAACCGATAAAAGAGTCCCGTACTGTCCGATGGCCACCGTCACATAGCTGGTGTGTCTTAGGATCAGCGTTGCGAGGGGGAAGAAAAAGAATGACGACGCACTAAATGCATTGACCAACATCGACGAACTGGGTTAGTTGATCAATGGTGTAACCTTGCCAGCCATCCTCCCATTGGCTGAAAGTCAACATAACGTCATAGAAACCGAGGCCTTGCTGGCTCATGTACAAGAACCACATCGCCATCGCGCAGGGCCACAGCATCAGTCCATAGAACTAAGCAAGTATACATGAGCATGTTTGGGTCACCTAGGTCATGAAACGTACCAAATAGACATGGAAGAAAAGGCGCCAATCTGTAAGCCTATCAGTCCTGGCGTTGCGTGGCTTGCGCTGCATCAAGTCTACAACAGGAGGTGAGTACTGGAAATCTCATCGATGCATAAGCACCCACCCCATTCCGGCTTCTCATACATCAACGAGATGGACATGATAACATCGTTTGTGATGCAATAGCAGACTTGTTGATACGAGTTCATAGGAATCTGCATGCCTAGTAATACATTTGCGAGGACCGCCATGAATTCCGAATAACTTCCAGCCTGCAACACCATGAGCATCAAACCCGCTGAGATTATACTGCTTCCACAAATGCAACTCACAGGCATGAGGTACAATGTGACTTTCTTCAGGTTATCAAAAACTAGTCGACCCATCTCTATCGCGACGGGGATAGAAGCAAAGTCATTCTTCAACAAGATCAAGGCGGCTTGAGAGTGATGGTATTAGCGTCATCAAAAGGAGCGTCAAGAAAATCCATACCAGCTTCCTTGGCCACATCACTGCCACTACCCATCGCAACACCAATGTCAGCGGCTTTTAGCGCTGGCGCATCGTTGACACCATCTCCAGTGACTGCGACTGTATTGTCTCCGCGAGCTTTTATTTCCTGTACAATCCGCATTTTCTGGTCAGGGGTAGTGCGCGCAAATACGATCTCTGCGTAGGTCCCAACGATAACATTCCAATCAGGCGTGGTGAGAGATGCGACGTCTTCTCCTGTAAGTACCAGGGAACGGATAGGATCATCTTCGGATGGCTTGATAAGATGATACTCTTTCGGCGAGACCTTCTCTGATGCAGCAGCTCGGACGTCCTGGATGGTGTCGACGACGTGCTGAGTAATGATACCAACCTGAAAAAGGTGTTAGTAGTGATCTTATGGCGGCCGAAATTAAAGAAAATACCTGGCGTGCAATAGCTAGAGCAGTAAGTTTAAAATCACCGGTGACCATAAAGACTCGAACTCCAGCTCGTCGAATGACGGAAATCGATGGCAATACATCCGGGCGAGGAGGATCGCAAATTCCAATCAGACCAACCAAGGTTAGATCGCACATCTCCGCGTACATCAGATCTTCCACGTCGTTCGGTGAAAGTTTAGCCTTGATTTGTTCTATGGGTTTCCTACATCTATTATCTCGGCAACGCCATCAGATGTCAGGTACCAAGTCAAAAGTGCTCACTCACAGCACGAGTACTCGTTGGCCCCGGCTTGACCAATCCTCTTGAAGCGTGGCGAACGTCTGCCTCGCCTTGCTTGTTAATGTCACGACCGTCCCATCACCTTGGAGCACACTGGTGCAGGAAGGGAATAAAACATCAGGAGCTCCCTTGACGAACATCCATGTCGATTCTGCGTCCTTTTCAGAAGTGTTGACCTTAGAGACCACGGAAAGCATCCATTTATTGCGAGAATTGAAAGGGATCTCAAACTTCTTCTCATACTCTTGCTGAAGAGTGCTGGAATCGACGTCAAGCTCTGGTATTGAAAGGGCTTCGGAGAAACGCAAAAGAGCAGTATCAGTCGGATCGCCCTTGATCGTGCGATCCTGCACAGGAAGGTGGTTGGTCGTTGCGTCGAATTTCGCACCGTTGCAAAGCCTTGCGATCTGATGGAGCGCCTTGAACGCAGAAAAAACGGCAGGGTTTGAGGCCTTCTTGACCCTTTCGTTAATTTCGTCGACACCAAATACGTCATCAAGGAAGGCAATATTCTCCACCATCTGTGGGTCCATCAGCAAGCTGGTAACAAGAGCAGATGCACTATTTATCTTACCATCTTTCCCGCAGTCAGCGTGCCTGTCTTGTCAGAACACAATACAGACATGCATCCTAACGTCTCGATTGTTGCCAGATTCTTGACCAACACCTGACGTTTAGCCATGCGACGGGCGATAACAGTCAACGAGAGTGCCACGCAAATCGGGAGGCCCTGTAAGATGTCAACTAAGAAGGGAACATAAAATGTCACTGCTGGCCACCTACTTGCGGAACGAAGGCAGTCAAGCAGCCGATTGAATTTACGATGGCAGAAGACGTGGTGTCATACCCAGGATATGTTGTCCGTAACCAAACGCCATATAGAAGAAGCGACAAGCAGAAGAAAAAGAGCGCGAGACAGGAAATGATTTTGGTGAAAAACCACACCTCTTTTTGGATAGTGGTAAGCTTAAACTTTGTTTCTCCAGACATCTTGACAAGGCGTCCCATGACAGTCCTATCTCCGATGGCGAACACGACTCCATGGCAAGTACCTTGTACGACAAAAGTGGAAGTCAGCGCGAGGTTACGAGTCTCTAGAGCATTGTCGGATGTTGCATCAAGAGCTCCTGGTACCATTTCGCTGCAATTGTACTTTAGCCAAATGTTCAAGCACGTAAGACAAGGGACAGACCTTTCACCCGTCAGGAGAGAGCGATCAAAGCGAAGGTCGGATGATGCCTGCACGACACGCATGTCGGCCGGGACACGGTCGCCAGCGCTGAGCACGGCAACATCACCAACTACAATGTCAGCAGCTGAGATGATTTGCTGGTTTCCGTCCCTAATGACCGCAGCCTCGTGTGCAATCAGGGATTTGATCGACTTCATGATTCTGCTCGCGTTCCAATCGACCAAAGCATAAAATGCAGCAGAAATGATGATGACAAGCATCTGTAGTTGATGAGAAGGGGGAAATTGAGTATGAGTATCGATAGTCACGAACCAAGAGCACTGCGACACCAAGAACGAAAGGTAGAGGAGGCCCGAGTGGTTTATAGGACAGCTGAACTGTATATTAGAGAGTCACAATGGCAGGTGAACAACGGCACTCACGATAGTCAAGATGAACGCGATCCACATGAGAAAATTGAAGCCACCAAAAACATAATTAAGCGTTTTCTTCCAGTAGACGGTGGGTGGAGGGCTGATGGTATTCTTGCCATCACGCTCCCTGCGACGAACAGCGGCAAGCTCCAAACCGACTGTGGGATGACTGGAATACCGGGTGTATACTTCGTCAACACTGAGTAGATGAGCATCTATGCTTGCAATTGCGTCCGCTGGGTCTGGCGGGGACTTGGAGGTGGCCTTATTATCTTCGACGCGAACCGATAATGTACGGTATCTGTTCACTGTTAGGTCAACGATATACTGCGCGGGGTAGAGATGCGAATAACGAACGCGACTTGAATGCCGTAGCCTTTCTCGGACCCGGAGCCAGCTGGCTCAATAGAGGGTGTTGTGGCTGCCATCGAAGGAACCTGCTTCAAGACCCAAGTCTTTGCCCGCTCTCCTATTTATCCGGTTCTTGAAGGCAATGCAACTGTGCCTTGCCAGACCCGAGATTTTTTAGGATCTACCCCAAAGGTATTTTTGCGATTCATCATGCGGGTATTGTTAGTGATCTAACGTTGAAACTGAAGATCAAAGTGAGGCAGACCCAAGTTATTTTCAGGTCAGGTTTTTTTTTCCACCGCATTAACGTGGTTGATGGATTGCAATGTGTGTACTTGGTGGCACGTGGAGGACCATATCTAGAGTTGAAACTGATGCTCGCGAGCCGTATTTAGCACGTAACTAGTCACAGAGTACAACAAGTGAGGAGGCGGCCGAAGCGAGTCGGATTCACAATATTATTAGCGTCAAACTATACATAAGACATTCAATTAATACAGAGGGCATCATCCATAAATACTGATCGGCGGGTATTACTTTTATGTCCAGGCAGTGAGGGAATCATGGAAGTTCCTCGGTGCTTGCCGGAAGAAGCCGTTGATGACGAACCTTGTCCTGGTACTAGGTAGTAGGTACCCCTCCCCACGGCCAGAACTCACTGTTTCATATCAAATCAGAATCAGAACATCAACACTAGTCGAACAGACCTGCATCGACTATTCGTACTATACATATTCTCCTCATCTCATACACTTCTTCGAGGGACAGCTCGTAGATCACCGGTCACCACTGCCAGGCACCACCATGTGCAAGCTGCTGCCGGTTCCTGAACATTGAACGCTCGGAACGAACCGGTACCACACCAACCGAGTGGGTTTCCTTTCTCTATGATCACCTTCAGTTCCCGCTGCGCATATTGACTCAACATGAAGAATTCAAATTCACAGCTTTACATTGTTCTCGGTCCCCGTGCAAGTACTGGGCGCTTAGCGCTTATTATCATCAGAGGACTGGTGAGCCGCAGATATTGTTATTTATGCCGATATACTTATGATCATATATAGAAAATGTTTTTGATATAAAGTCATATAAAGCCGTGTATAATGTCGGGAAAACCACCGCCTTCAACGTAAAGCACCCAGCTGAGGAGACTCACGAGTTCCCTGATGATGTACGGGTAAACCCACGGTTCATCGCTGACGGGTGTGACGGGTACGGGTACGGTGTGGATTATGGAGACCCGCACGTACACCGTGCATACCAGTTGCGGTTTATGGTATTGGACGGGTGTGAATCCCTGAATTGTCCGAGGGTGCAAGGGTCAAAATTTCATTACTCATAAAGAACCTCCCGAGATGCCACCATGTGAACTTCGACCGCAGGTTCATCGAGTAGCAATGTCGATCCAGAGCGATAATGGACGGCACCAGCTATACTGATTTGCCAGTGAAATTATATTCCAAGACTACTCTCTCGGGTTGCGACTCTACCCCTACTACTTAGCCCATTGATGAGTTGGACGAACACTACCTTCAGCAACCTCTCGAAAAAGTGGATGACGCCTTGAAATGGTGGTCTGTGCAACAAAAGAAGTATCCTAATCTGTCCCGCATGGCTTTGGATTACCCGAGCGCTCCAGGTCTGTTTTCAAAAAATAAGTTTCGTGTCTTTGACACTAACAGCTTCCTTAACCGCAGTCGACCTCAAAATACTATATGACCCGCGGGTCTGTGAAAAAACTGCGGCATGCCGCAAAAAAACACCGTTCATACCTGCAGAACTGGCGGGTCAGTGTACACCCGTACCGTGAATTTGTGGGTACGGGTGCGGCTTCAGCGACCCGCGGGTACCCGTGCTCTAACATTGTCATTGATTTGTTCCTACCGGTGCTAAGTACCGTGAGCTGCCTACTGGTCATCACCATCGCAGATCCCGTCCACATCTATCTCTAGATCTATTATGCCGTTGTCCTGAACCACGCGATCTTTGTCACCATCGTGGGCTGTCTGCCTTGTGTCCCCACTGCGAAGTGCCAGTGCATGCTCGTCCTTCACCATCGCGAGCTGCACTCGTGGTACCGCATGCGGCATCACATTGTGGCCGCGTGCTCATTCTGTAAGAACGGAGCGTTTAATTCCGCGGAATTAGTCCGTGTTGACGTCATGTGCGCGCTCTTGGTAATCGAGCGTCTTTGATGCTGTGTATGCATACCTAATGTGCTCTGAAACAATTTCGCTGCGGTCTCAGGTGCCCGATTGATCGAGCGCCTGAACAATTTTCTCTTGAGAATTTTTAACATCAATATTGTTGTAGCGTTATGATCTTATCACAGTACTGTTGGTACGTTGAGTGATTCTGTAAAATGGACACAGCTCTGTTCAGAGGGCGGAATCATATCACGACGTTTGGACATTATTTTCAACCACGAATGAGGAAAGACAAACGGCAAATGTAGTCTGCTCTTTGTTGCTATTGTAAATAAATCTGAGAGGATGATAAACGATACTGATCTGTCCACAGGTAAGCAGATTGCTTGTAAAAGGTAAGTAGGAGCAAGACGACCCATGCAATTGGAATTAGATAAGAGCTAAGGGTTCCTAGTCCAAACCATAAACATCAGAAAGAAAAGTGCATGATAGTGTATCGTGCCGAATATGATTCGATAAGAAAGCGGTCTAGCCGAGTAGTACTGAGCCCGTGGCAATCCTCCGTTCATCGAAGATACCGAGGTCTAGCAATTTGGAAAGATCCCTTGGGTGCCTAGTGAGACCATTATTTAACATGTGGGAGTCTTCAGCTACATCGACGAGGGGCTCACCAGGATAATACCAAAACGTTACAGCCAAAATCATGTAGGCGCCTAGAGAGCGCCTTGAGTGCGAAACGCACCCAAAAATGCTACAGCAACTTACACATGAGGATCATTCCTTCCAGCCAATTTGACTTGCCATCCTGCACGACGTAATTGACAGTAAGAACTATTTTCTCCTTCCAATTAGCACATTCTCCCGCATCATGTCATTCACGCACCGGAAAGGAACATAACGATGGATTCCAGCGGGTCAAAGAGAAGTGTCAGTGGCTTATCCATAATCCAACCAAGTGTCACGATGAATCTGAGACCATCTGAGTAAATACTATGCAGAAATGAACAAGAGCACAACGCACGGAATCACAAAGAGCGCAATTTGCTGAAAACGGTGAGTCGCCATAGAAGCCATGTCTGTAGGAATGAACTCACAATACTCGAACCCACAGCAACGCCCAAGCTTAAAGTCAATTTATCCTTGACGGATACCGTAACTTCAATGACGTGGTCCGCTGCGTGACCAACGATCGGGAGCAAAATAACACCAACGAACTCCTTGTTGATCGACCCAGATGAAGTCAAGCCATCAATCGAGTCAACGAGGAACACTGCAGTAACAGTAGTCAACTGAAGCGAAAAATTGAGAACTTCGTGTAACTATCACGTTAAGCACGTACCACAGCTACGACAGCCAAAAGCCAAAAGCACACAGCGATGTTCATCAGTGGTTGAATCTCAGTCTCCACGGATGCTATGGAATAAGTCCCAGGTTCCACGTCAGGGTTGGCATCTGCGGGGCAGGACAACGTTGCGGCTGCCTCTCTGTCATGTGTCGAACTTGGGGAAGATACATTTTCGCCGTCCGTGATGATCCTACGTCTCCTGTGCAACCGAAATGGATTCTGGCCTGCGTACGCCTTGGTTGGTTGCATATTTTCGTTATCATCATCGTAGAGGGCTTTGTGCGAAAATAACTGGAAAACCAAATATGAGGCGTAGACTGAATGGTTGGAATGGGTTTAGCCAACTGCTAAGAAAATCATTTTGTTGACCTACTGAAAAGGAGAATGATTGCAACCTATACGAAGAACGTAAGACCAAGCATATTGTGAACAATAATCTACGCACGCCACGGCTAGTTTGCAATATGTTGTAATCGATCGACAATTCGTCATATCCTGGTTGACCCTGAAGAGCCATGTGAAAAGCCCCAGGTAACAGAACAGCAATCACGCTAATGGTCAGCAATGATAAATTAAGTTGCACAGCACCTAAGCCATAGGCGCAAGCATCAACAGTTTGGACCAACTTGGAACAAGCAACTGCGTACTTTGACCAAATCCCTGTTCCGAGAAGCGGAGACCACCGGCAAAGAAACACATGCCCAGTACCAGCACTACAGTACACATTAATTGATCTCGTCGCAGTAAGCCTAGACACTGACAGAGATTGCTCAGGATAGAGCCAACCACTATAGGAAAATAACACGTGTCAGTTAAAGGGGAGCTAAAAATAGAGCAAAGCTGTGGGACACGTACAGGACGACTGAACTATTGTAAGCTGACACTTCGCGAGCGCGATGATCTAAAATGGGTCAATTTGGTCATCGCACAAGCTGCTGGAGGCTAGCACGACGTACTGATACGATGAGTTCGACACTGTGCGTGAAAGGAAGCAAGGTAAGTAAGTGATCAACTCAGCATATTACTGACGCATTTCCCTATAAGCCATCAAATTTCAGCGGGATAACAGACTGGGATATGAACCACTGACTAATGTAGCGTTGAGAAGACCAGCTAGAGTTTGACCGACTCGTAATGACAATTCATCGGTCGCGAAGGCGAGAAGCTACGAACACATCAAACAACAATAACGGAAAATGAACCTATGTTACCTTGGTTAGCGGTATGATAGCCAGAAATGCAACTGCAGAACTGCGTAAGGTAGGTTGCAGTGAAGGTCAAGTCGTGTACTTACAAACAAATGTGAGAGTGTGCTGATCGGGTAGAGCAAAGTTCATAGCCCACTTTCAGACACCATGTAGTATTAGATAGTCCGAGCTAAGACAGCAAGAAACATACAGATATCGGAATAAAGATCAACAAGGCATTCAGCCCTAGAGGACAATATCAACACAGTGCATTGGTCGCAAGTAAGTCATTTCACATGAAGCAAAAACAATCGCTTGAATGCTTCTCCACACGGTGGGGGCTTTAGCTATCGGTTTTTCTGGCTGCACCATTAAAGTTGCAGCTCTTCTCAACTCGGCCAGCCAATTGAGGGACATCTCTTGGGGTTCGCTGCCTGGAACACTCATGCGTAGTCGATTGGTCGATTGGCAGATGTGGATGACCGTAAAGGTAGGCAGAATGATGTGGGAACATCTCCCTTGATCGCGTGGCTTTCGCGCATTTTGCTAAATGCCATGTGTAGTGTGCCACTGCTTCGAGTGTGGACAAGCAAGGGCGTGTTAGAACCACGTGCAAAATTCAAACTTGGCAGTCAAGCTTGAGGCCTGAGGTGTCCAGCATTGTCTCTGCACGGAGATGGGCCAAATTCTCTGTCCGGTTCGGAAACGACCGAACAAGGGTCTCTTGGTAAGGTCTCGATGTGCTAAAGGCCGCGAGACTCGAGGTCTGAAGCTTCCTACCCCCACTAGCCCTCACTACCACCCCCAACCGTGAACTACCCTGCCGGTGGGCCATGGTTACTGGACGCAGCTGGCCGGTCGTCGTTTCGCGGTTGTAGTCGTGCGACAGAGCCTGTACTCCCACTATGCATATCATATGATAGGTTCAATGGCTGGCATTATTCGGAACAGAACGAGAAGGTCGGCGCGGCCGCTGTTGGGGTAGCGGTAGCCCCCTGACAAGAACTTTCGCAGGTTCAAAACCGCTGTCATCCCCGCCATCCTACTAGTGTTCCTCTTGGGCTCTTATCCTAGGAGACGGGTGACTAGGTGCTAAGAACGACGTTGGTCGGCTCTACAGCACTTGAAGCCAGTCGGCGAATCCCGAGTATACTTTACGTAAGCATGTTAGCTGTCCTTCAAGTTAGTCCTTGCAAGTTGCCCAGCCCGTTTCATATGCATGACTTTAGATCGGAATTCTCCTAGCTCGTTAAATATTAGTTATTGAAACTCATACCGCAATGTCATCTTCAGGTTAATTGTGGCCACCCCCCTCCCCTCCAGGGGGCTTCACTCATTGCACAGCTGCAAAGATGGGCTCAGCCGATGTGTCTACAGTAACCCTAAAATTTTCGAGTAATAGGTAAACATAGTTATAGTTATATTACCATCACTTTATATACATACATATACTATACAAGCATCTCTAGTTCCTCCAAAAAGTCTAAAAGTGACTCGCAGAATCCGGGAACACCGAACTGCGTCAACTCTCCACCTCAGTGCGACTCGCAACCGACTATTATACTAGTTATTACACTAGTTATCACACCCGAGTCACTGGCTGGTCACTACATATCGCACATTACCACGCCGCACACAAAAAACTAACAGAACTGTGAAATAAGTGGCAACCAACTCTAACATAATTACAGACCAAGCAACACCAAAGGTTTACCAGGCCATTTTAGCAATGATCGACTTTAACGTTCCATCAGTATCAAGAAAACGAGAAAAGGTTGGCACGCTTACCTTCGGATATGTCCTCACGATCAACTTGCGGGTTTCATCCACGCAGAGAATTCCCAAGGCAAATGCGAACGGAGGGCCCCAGAACATCCCAGGTATAGGGGTAGTGTTGAAGACGCTCTGTAACCCTGGTCCGTACAGATTGATTACCGCAATCAAAGCAGTCGCGACCATGCCAATCGGAACTGCATAATTCTTGCGAGGTCCCCATAGAGGGTTGGACTGGAGCAAGGAAACTCTCCGGTTTCGGATGGCGAGGAGATTTCCGTATTGCATGAAGACCATCGTCACGTAGCTTATGAGGATGATAAATATAGGCCTTGGGAGTAGTAGGCGTTATCACCACTCACTAAATGCACTGCCCGACGTAAACAAAATGATTGAGTTGTTCCAATGTGTAACCGTGATAGCCTTCGGCCCAGTTGTTATAGGCTAAGAAGACATCGTTGAATCCGAGGCCTTGCTGACGCATGTATACAAACCACATGCTCATCGCGCACGGCCAGGACATGAGCCCAAGGAACTAGTAATAAATGACTTGTGAACTCAAAGCATCGCTTGGTGCGGAACAACTTACCAAATAGATCTGGAAGAACAATTTCCAATCTGTAAGACGGTCGGTTCTAGCATTACGAGGTTTCCGCATCATGAGATCTGTCGCGCAATGAGAAATGGGAAAAACTGTGAAGAACGAAAAGTTTACCTGCTTCAGCTTTCTCGTACATCAAGGAGATTGACATGACCACGTCGTTTGTGATGGAGAAACAAACTTGTAGATAGGAGCTCAAAGGAATCTGCATTCCAAAGACGACGTTCGAGACTACTGCCATGAACTCTGTGTAACTTCCAACCTTGAGTTGGGTAAGCAAGTGGCTTATTTTTGATGATGCATTGGCTTACAGGCATGAGGTAAAGCGACACTTTCTTGAGGTTATCGAATACCAGACGACCCATCTCGATGGCCACTGGGATAGACGCAAAGTCGTTGTTCAATAAGATCAATGCAGCTGAGGGAATTGAGGGTTAAACGTCGTCTTAAACAAGACGTCACAATCTTACCAGCTTCTTTCGCGACATCGCTACCGCTCCCCATCGCAACACCAATGTCAGCGGCCTTGAGAGCAGGTGCGTCGTTGACACCGTCACCAGTGACAGCCACAGTATTGTCGCCGCGGGCCTTGATTTCCTCGACGATCTTCATCTTTTGATCAGGCGTAGTGCGGGCAAACGCAATTTCAGTGTATTGCCCGACGATTATGTTCCAGTCAATGGGAGTAAGAGTGCTGACGTCCTCGCCTGTGAGTACCAATGCACGGATAGGGTCTTCGTCCGAAGGTTTAATGGTACGCAGTGATACATCGGCGAAGTGCTTCTCGGACGCTGCGGCCTTGACATCATCGATGGTATCTACGATGTGCTGTGTGATGATGCCGACCTATAATCACGTTAATCCCAAGTACCACGAGGCAGCTGCTCGATCCAACTCACCTGGCGGGCGATTGCAACAGCAGTGAGCTTGAAGTCTCCGGTCACCATGAAAACCCTGACACCAGCACGACGGATAACAGCCACACTTGCGGGCACGTCAGGACGGGGCGGATCGCGGATACCGACCAGTCCGACCAAAGTGAGATTGCATATTTCCGAGTACATCAATTCCTCCATGTCATTTGGAGAAAGGTTCGGTTTCAAGGCGTCCAATGGCTTGCGACACCTGAACGAGTATCAGTAAATTATCCCCACAGAAACATACAATACGTACAAGGCAAGCACTCTCTGTCCTTCACTCGACCAATTGCTTTGGAGATCGCTCATCTGCTGCCTTGCCGCTTCATCGAACGGGACAACTGTGCCATCGGATTTCATCACCGAGGTGCAGGATTTTACCAGCATGTCTGGAGCGCCTTTGACGAGCATCCATGCTGTCGAATTCCTTTCAGCAATATCCCCTTCGGTCGTTTTAGTCTCCTGAACGACGCTAAGCATCCATTTATTTTTCGAATTGAAAGGAATTTCGAAGAGCTTTTTCCAGGATGACAGAAGCGCTGGCGTATCAATGTTCAAAGCTGGGATAGACAGCGCCTCTGAAAAGCGAAGTAAGGCGGTATCAGTGGGATCTCCTTTGACGTTTCGCTCCTGGATAGGCTTGTCAGCAGTCGTAGAGTCGAACTTTGCACCGTTACACAGCCGTGCAGTATGGTGCAAAGCGCTCAAGCCAGCGAAGAACCGAGGATCTGGTGCTTCGCCAATCTTCTCGTCAATTTCACTAATCAAAAGATGGCGATCCAAAAAGGCAAGTGATTCGACCGCCTAGAAGACGTTAGTCAAGGAAACCGTATTACGTATATTCACGTAAAACGAACCATCTTGCCGGCAGTCAGAGTACCAGTTTTGTCTGAACACAAGACGGACATGCATCCAAGCGTTTCAATCGTTGCGAGATTCTTGACAAGAACGTGCCGTTTCGACATGCGACGGGCAATGATAGTCAACGAAAGGGCAACGCAAACGGGTAGACCCTTGGAGGAAAGGATATGATGTTAGGGAAGCTATTAAGCATAACAAGTTAGATCGTTTACCTGAGGCACAAATGCCGTAAGACAACCAATTGAGTTCATGATCGCGACACTGATGGATGCATCATATCCAGGATAGGTCGTCCTCAACCACACGCCGAAGAGCAATAAAGATAGACCAAACATCGTAAAGGCGATTGAGGAAATGACCTTGGTGAAAAACCAGACCTCTTTTTGGATTGTTGTAAGCTTGAATTTTGTCTCGCCAGACATTTTAACAAGGCGTCCCATGACGGTCCTGTCACCAGTGGCGAACACGATACCATTACAGGTACCCTGCGTGACGAAGGTCGATGTCAGTGCAAGATTGCGTGTCTCGAGGGCGTTATCAGATGTAGCTTCGAGAGACCCGGGGATCATGTCACTGGCAAAGTATGAGGCAAGCTTTTAAATTATTAGAATGTGATCACCTTTCTCCAGTGAGTAGCGAACGGTCAATGCGCAAGTCAGATGAAGCCGCGACGATCCTCAGGTCTGCAGGAACTCGATCACCAGTGCTGAGAACCACGATATCTCCGACGACGATGTCGGTTGCAAGAATAAGCTGTTGCTTGCCATCACGAATTACGGCAGCTTCGTGGGCAATCAGAGACTTGATGGATTTCATGATTCGGCTAGCATTCCAGTCCACCCAGGCGTAGAACGTTGCTGAGATGATGATGACGAGCATCTGAGGGGAGATAAATGAAGTGAAACAAGATATGTACGGAAACGCACGAGCAGAACTGCAACGCCGAGATTGACAGCGGCAGGGTCAGGCTCTCCCAGAGGCTTGTACGAGAGCTGGGGGAGAGTGTGAAGTACTGAGTAAAATAAAAGTAATGAAGGCGTACTATTGTGACGATGAAAGCGATCCACATGAGGAAATTGAAGCCTCCGAAGATGTAGTTAAGGATCTTCTTCCAGTGTTGGGTTGGGGGCGGGCTGATGACATTCCTACCATCCTTGGACCTTCGTTGAACTGCTGCCTGTTCGAGGCCAACTGTAGGATGGCAAGAGTAACGAGTGTAGACCTCATCTGTTGCGAGGAGATGGACGTCGATGCTAGCTATAGCATCTGCCGGATCTGCGGACTGCTTAGCCTTTGAGGGGAGGTTCTTCTCTTCCACGCGAATGGAAAGGGTGCGATAGCTATATGGGGGGTGAAAATGATGGCTAACACGTTCTAGGCTACTGCGCACCTGATCTGAATTCCATAGCCTGGGGCTCTCTCTTGCTCAGAAGACTTTCGGGGAGAGTCTTTCATGGTATAGAAGCTAGCACCACGACCGAGGCTGAGCAGGAGTAGATTGACGCACTTGGTCTTTTATCTGAGCGCTCTTGTGGATGGAAATTCTTGATTTGAGTTTATTTTGATTTTTTTTTGCTGTGCACGCAGCCATAAGCTGCGGGATTTATGCCATTCCCTATAGATATCGCTACCAATATTATCACATAGGTCTAACTTGGCACGTTCTTGATTCAATATACTTTCGTGTGCTTTGGCAATTGTCGTAATGGTAATGATGACCAGACTGTTCGGGAAGTCACAAACTACTGATCCTGGAAGCACTGTTCCTGGATCTGTCTAGGCCCTAGGCGTTCTGCAGATTCTCGGAGAGCCGGTAGTTTTTTTCGAGGACGGTTAGTACAACGCCGCTGGACCGAATCCGCTAAGTAAGGATCTGAAATTTTGAACGATAATAGTTCGGATCAGGAATGGCATGGCAATTCGCAAGTAGAAGGGTTTAAGCCGCTGAGCAACTCTTCCAGGAGTCGAAATGACGATTTAAATTAAAATGTCAGCTCCTGGTTATGTCACTTAGGCCTGGTGGAACGTAGTGCCGCGCTCAATCTCAGGTTGCAGTCTCTGTGGCAGTGCTATGTTGGCGTTTAAATCATAGATGCTCGGACCATCCATTACCGGATTATTTTTATGCGACGTCACGCGCGTCTCAGATTCATGCATGTGCTCAGTGCAATGGCACAACTTGCTCATAATTATAAGTCTGACGAGACTTGGGAACATTACCCACAGATAATCCAGAACAATTCACCAGACCATCTCGAGCATGCACTCGGAGCCCCACCTGGTGAATGTCTCTCATCATGTGCCATCACATCAATCATACTGACGCAGAATATGTTCGCTTAACCTGCAGGTTAACTCACACCCACGATACTCTAACCCGGGTGAGTATTTGGGTACACATCTGTACCCGCGGATTTGATGCGGGTATTACCCGGGTCGACCTATACTCATACCTACCGGTAGCTCCAATAATCCCAACCCAAGGTGAGATGACGGCCCGAATAAAGTCTGGGGTGACAAGCAACATCATTGGAAAAACTAGTCAAAAAAGGGCGGCTTGCGTGAACATGCTGCACTGTGGCACGCAAATCCCACTGCGGCCGGAATTGCTGATAGACGGATAATGATACGAGCCTGAGATGCGGTCTGATGCGGCATCAAATGACGAAGGTCAGGTACAAGTGTCAAATGACCTACAGATGCGACCCTTGCGTCCACCATAACCGACGTGTGTCTGTGGCATAAATTACGCACGTACGGGACCTGCTGTACATGAAAGCGGTAGATCAGCCTACATAACAAATTCCTTATCGCCCTTTCTGAAGGTCATGACAACTTAGAAAGTTGTCAAGTATTTTGGCGACACCCGGCGATTCATGATTTTGACACTATGAGAAACCCGAACCGTTGAGCGAACAAGAGAGACAGTAAACAAGATACTGATGCGTACTTTGTATTATGTAAGCATGTTTGGTTGTCAAGGCAGCAGGCAGCAGGCCGTGGCACTTCGGAGCTCCCGTCAGTACTCAGCTCCCTGAATCCTGGACCTGATCCCTGCCACAAGACATGTGCGCCGCGCTACAGTTCCAGTACAACCTATATTGGTCTACGCCCAAGTATTCCAGTACTGGAAATCATCAAAAGGGTCTGAAATGTGCTTCAGAAGTTCAAGCTTGGCTTGCTGGCGCCCCTTAGTGACCAGATATGAACTACATTATTTCCACAGCGCTATTTTTTCTACAGGTGGACTGAAGAATGCCAACAAAGAATCTGTCGATCAGGGTGACCTTCTGTCCAACGAGACGGTCCGGAGTCGAAAACAAACGCCTCGATTCTCAAACCTAGCACCTAGCCACTACCCCCCAATTATTTCGTACTTCAAGCCACGTACATCTGTTCGTCGTCATTACGGGCTGGTGTTCATTTATGACATATTAATGAAATCAAATCCACCTTGGTGGTATATTCGCCGCCAAGTGACGTGTGAGTGGAACCCATGAAATGTTGGCTAATTCTTTCAGAATGAACCATGTTGCCAATTCTTAATAAGCACAATACACGCTTTTCTCGAATGTTAAACATCCAAAGCCCCTGGCGGAGAATATTCGACGAGTGTTACTTTTGGGGCAAGTAATGATTCTCTCGTTTCTTCACACCGGTTGACTCAAATATGTCTGTTCTTGATTAGATATTTTTATGTACCTTCCGGGAGAGGCAGTTGCATCGTGATGTGCCATCCCTATAAAAAGCTTTGAAGTTAAAGTTTTTCTTTTTGAAGAGAAGATAACATTGCCTCGACAACATAGTTGAACCTTGTCTTCTTTTCACTCCACCGTCATAGCTGAATCTCACGACGAACATTCCCACTGAAGAAATAGACGGAAAGTGGAGAATCTGAAAGATCTTGACGGTGCGTTCAACCGGACTGTTCATAGTCACCTTTCATCTTTGCTGTCAGATGATATGCACGATGAAGGCGGATGACTTCTTCCCGCGATTTTCAAGGCGACCACTCGTCTCATGTGATAGTGCTTTCATCAGAAGTCTTTTGGACTTCGAAGGCCATGCCTAAATTCTGGACTTCTTTTGCGAAGCTCCCAAAAGATGAACTTTGAGGCGTCAACTGAAGGTTGAAGATACTTCGATAGGATTGCGATAGGATGCTTCGGAGCGATGTCCAGAACGTTGACTCACTCGACGAGTGATACACTCCTTCGTACACACGATGATCCGATCGTTGACGCAAACGGGTTTTCACACCTCGAGAATTCAAGTTGAGTTGAGTTGTGTGTACTGGGCTTTGTGCTTGTTATGATTCAGATGAAGTGCCAGCACAGAACATATGATTGTACAATCTATGTATAGTTTCTTCCTACTGCGCGCCACACGAGAGATCTGGGGCCGCCGGCTGTGATATCCCACATTTTTAACTTTCACATCTGGTTGTGTAATATGGGGAATGTGCTCACGGGCACACCTCAGTGAGTAACCCTCTTCCAGCATGTTCTAAGCATGTCCTGACGACATTGAATACACTCCGCAGCTGCGTTGACAGATTCATCGTGATCAGGGAAAACTTCCCCCGGGGCCCCCAATTTGCAGTAATTTCTAGTTCCCGACATCTGGAGGATAGGGATTTCTATTATGTTGAGCAAATCAGGCATCCCAGGAGCCCCAAACCTCTACCTCCTGCAGGGCTTCACAACATTGTCCGGACCTCGTTCACCTCATCTCTCTTGCACTTACATAACTACACCTCCACATCCGACGTCATTCAGGACATCGACCTGATCACACTCTATAAACAACCTTCATGCTCCTCTCATTTAGTTGTTTTGAACCTTTGCCCTAGCAATGTTCCATGGTCATATAAGCTGATGATGAACTATCGCTTTCCGAGGATGGAATCGACGGCATCACTGCCATGTCGGTGAGAGACCCTAAGCCTGCGCAGATTCCACTCAATTGAACAGGGCGCTATTTATCTCGACAAAAGGCTACGTCACTAGACCTGAAATAAGCATACCCCGCGTCCTCCGATGATCAGTGATTCTCTAAATATATTTTCCAAGGGATTCAGTCATTTCGCTTGCGTTCAACATGACGTCAAAGGGATAGAGAAAGAGAGCGCTCGATATTCAAAACTGCGGGCCACACTTCGTTCGCGAGGTACAGTATGAATAAACTTACGCGTTAAACACTCACGCGGCAATTGAGCGGTGACCGGTGGTAACGTGGCGTGCTACCGACCAAAGTGTTTTATGCCGTGTATGTCGCCCTCTGTAAGCTCATTCATTTCATCATAGCTGCCGAACCCTGTGCAGCGAACAAACGGAGGTACGTTTTCCGGATTTGTTTCGTCCGAACACTGCGTTGACGCAGGGCTCTCTCTTATCAGCAGCTATCTTGATCCATTCCCGGGCTCAATCTTCTGTACTCAGCATTCCTCGAATTTCTACGAATTTCTACATAGACCTCGAGGAAGTTGCACCCGACATTGGCCCGAACTCTACCGCGATATATGCGACTGACTCATCTCAACATGGAAGTGCTACCTAAACCTAACTCTCTATTACGCTCGACAAGCGATTATCTCAAACAGGCGGCCACCATTCTTCTTCTACGCCGCAATGGAGCATTCATTCCGCTATTCACTCGGCAATCGAAGCAACAGCAGCAGCCTCATGTCTCACCACGCCGCACGTCCCGTCTGTTCTAGATCTACTGTGACAGAGCTCCAAATTCACCTTGGAACATCAGATCCGATCGGTCATATCAAATTTTTAGTCATTTGACTACAAAAGACACTAGTATTGCACGTTCAGTCCGTACCCCGGTAGATATCCACCATACCGTCAACACGAGGCTCACAGCATATATACTCGGAGCGCCCGATTTCCGGAACTACATCCTCAACCTAACCACCTCACATTTCATCGTTTACTATGTTGGAAGCATTCAAGATTAAGGAGTTCAACCTGGAACCTATCTACGAGACTTGGCAGAACCCTCCCAGATTCTTGGGCGAGTCGAAGAAGGATATGCCCGTCGATGACTTTCTGCAACAGATTAGAGCTGGTTGCGCCGAGCGGAAGGTGCCAGAGGAGTACTGGCACAAAGTCGCTCAACACTACATGGGAGAAAAGGCGAAAGCCCGACTCCAGGAACTCAAAAGCGTCATGGCGAAAGTCAATGGGGGCAAGTATCGCTGGAGCTGGAAGAAGTTCACGATTGCGATGCGTAACATGGGGTGTACGTAAACATCTTCATTGTCCCGCGTGTTATTGATTCACGCTATTACAGGGGAGATCGAAGCCGACATCACAGAGACTGTTCAGATCCACTCTAAACCGTCAGGCATGTTGTGGCTTACGAGAAGGAAATCCTTGAAAGACAAGGATGGGTCGCACAAGGAGTTGACCTCTTCTGAAATCGTAGAACTTCCGCCGCCCCTGCCGCCCCTGCCACCCCTGCCGTCCCCTAAGCAGGGACGGCCAAACCCGATAAAGATGCTTTCTGATTCAGCCCTCGCCGCTTCGGCTGTAATCAGGACTCGCAAGATGCCAACCCGTGCGAATTCCATGGCTTCTGCGATGACCTCCAGCACGGTTTCATCTAACCATACCGTAACCTCCAACCACGCGTTAGCCTCCAACCATACGTTGACCTCCGACAATGCGGTAACTGCCTTATCTCCTCCATCAGCTGACGGCAGTAAGTGATACGCGCTAGTCCATCTAAGTCTACAGCTGAAACTCGTTATCTAGCTGTCACCGCTATATCAAACGCACCAACATGGCTCCTCAATGCGTGCAACGCCCTCAATTTTTTGAGTGCGGAGCATCCACGAGCCATGACGACTCTGAGTGCTGTCCTTATCACTGCAGGGACCCTCCCTGCAATCCCTGCGATCAGCGGAGGGACCGTCCTCGCTTCTGGCGTCGCTCAAGCAGTGGGCGCCATAGCTGTGGGCGTCGGAAATCTACTCAAGGCTCAGCAAGAAGGCCAAGTACAAGCAAATGGCCCGCACCCACCACCCCCAGCACGATCATCTACCTTCTAATCCCGATAGGCGGCGATTCAGTAAGGTTTTTCGTACTTATGGGCTCCGCAGCATTCAAGCTCGCTGGACGAGCTCGTGGACAATATGAAAATAAATTGCAATATTATCTATACCCTTGCATCACCTTGCATACATACACTGCATTCTACTGATTTCAAATTTTTGGGAAGTCGATAGCTATATCTGTGCGCTTTACGTGCCGACGCATCATGTACAGGACAATGTAATAGCTAGATGAAGGGGAAGCAATCCATATTGCTCAATTGTTGACTACTGCGATAGAACATCCGTGGCGAAGTACTGTAAGAACATCACAATCTTAAGGTTGATGATCGGTGAATTGCTCTCCGACGACATTAATATTAAACTTGGGTTAAGCGTAGCAAGCTATATATGTCACACAAACATCGAGTTCCTCCACCAACAAGCAGGCCCTTTGTGCGAACAACACTACAAATCAAGTAGACATCTCGAAGTGGTCTAACTCTATGCGAGCCCAAAACAAAAGGCTGAGTGACCCATAATGCAACAAATAAGGTAAGATGAAAGGTAGGGTCACTCTCTCGTGTAGCCCTAGTCACCGCTCTAGCACATAGTTTCCAATTAGGTGCATATCGCGCAGCACAGATGACACTCTATTTTGTCAGTGATTATGGGCGCAGTACTGGAGGTTTTCGTAGCCATCTGCCTTCAAGATCTGGAACATCATCAACATGCTGGCCATCAACGGACAGGCCGCCGTCGACATATATGTGGTCCAACGGGATTCCTGCATCTCTACATATTGTAATGAAGTCCTTGGGTATAGGAGCCCCGATCGCAAGTCGGAAGTGTTTTTGGGGCCCTGTCTTTCTGTACCTCTGAGCATATACGCATGAGAGACTTCATCAAATATCGACTGTTATCCGCGGACTTACTGAGAGTGTCAACTGCGCCGCGTGCAAGAATATCCTCTTCTCGGGCAGTCGAGTGATCTTAGCAATCTTCTCGGAGATACTACTCCTCGCATACAAGTTGTCACCAAGTATAGGCGCTATAACCCCCATAAAACACTTCGAAGATGTGGGATAAGTGATGACGCACTGTGTAAGGAATGTGCCAGGTGGATGCGAAGTTGATGTTTCAGCCCTGTGTGCAGAGTTAGCCTGAGCAGTGACAGTGGTGCTACAGGCTACGGTGTATTTTTAATGCATCAGCAGTAGACGGCAGTTGATGACACGCACAGAGGACGCAATAAGCTCCCAATCAGTAGCGGCGAACTTTGCAGCGCAGCTCTCGCCTATAGACACGCGCCCATCACTGAATTCCAGGGCGTCTCGAATCTCCCCACTGCGTGTTGGGAAGGACTTCTCTCCTCCACGCACAAGAGCTAAATATGTTTTCCCTACTACCCGCGACTGAAATTGTTGTGAAAACTGACGAGCAGCTGGAGAGTTACGCGCCAACAGTAGTGTTCCGGTGGTAGACTGACAGCTAGGTTAGCCAGTGCTCATCGTACAACGTGAAATGAAACATGCCTTATCAAGGCGGTGGACAGGATACGGCAGGCTCTCCAGGGCAAAAGTATCTTTTACGTCTGTCAAGCGAGACAAATACCTCGCGTCATGCACGTCAAACATGAGAAGGAAATACGCACCACGAAGTAGGTCATTGAATTTGTCAACATCTCGAGGTTTCTGAATATTATACCAGAGGTTGTGACAATCTCCTTTGCTTTCCAAGAATGAATTCACGTACGTTTTCGGAGGAAGCTTCGACGGAGCCTTGGCAGATAAGTCCTGCAGGTTTGTTCAAAACGATGATACTGCGATCGGCATAGACGACATTTCTTGCCCAGTATGATATCCCCGTGCGAGCGGGTCTTAGAGCTTGCAACATTCAATATATATCGTGCTTACGACGAGCGTGCAAGCCGTTGGCAAAAACACTCTTGCACTGGTTATTTGATGTTGTTTGCAATATCATCTTACGTGATGACTGCTCGAATGATTCAACTTGAAGTTGACTTGAGTCAGTGGTTGCATGAGTAGTAAGTACAGCTGATAGTCGACGCATCAGCGGTTGCAAACTTGTGTTTGCAGAAGCAACCAACGTCCGCGGTAGAGACTCGAAATTTGCCGCGAATAGTTTTGATACCGCGGAGGCTTGCACTATGATCATATTGGTGAGTACGTCGCATTTCGTATCAAGCCCCGCTATAACTGGGAACAAAACCGATTACCAGGTGGTGCAGAAGTATACGACATGCATTGACATCCACATACTTTGGCGTCGAGACCGAATTAGACCCGGACTCACCTTTTCTATATCCGAGCTTTGTCCGAGCTCAAACTGTTTTGGATCCCGTCAAAAGATCATAGCCCGAGATCGTCATGGAACCCCATTCTACAAGAATATCAGTATATCATTGGGCCATTCTGCAGACCTAGTTTCCAACGTCACACTCCAAGTCTCTGCCAATGAGCCACCAGAGACTTTAGTTCAATCAAGCCTAACATGGTGTTAGGGATGTTGGAACAGCATTTACGTAAGGACATAGACTCAGGGTCCGATTAACTGATAGGTTCAATGTTATCACAGCTCCACACCATGCACATCAGGCGAAGTCTTCTCAGACTCAGGTTCAGGGACTGAGTCGGACCGCCCGTGCGTGGTAGCCGGACGCTCAAAGTACATTCTGCCCTGGGGCCTGATTGACAGTGCTATTCAGCCGCTATTTTGAAACTCTCGTTGATGCTTTGAAGAAATCCGCTTCATGCGGACACGGCGTTGGCATACGTCGTGCTACCGGCTGGGGTAACACTTTATAACCGTCGACCCCGTATCGATGCGAGTCTTCTGGAAGCTCCGAAACAATGTTCCCCGTAAGGTTCGCTATTCAATATCCAGCGCTTATCACTAACGTAGCATCAGTGATGTTGTGAAGTAGAAAATCATCAGGGGCAGAAGACCGGAACTTCGAATTAGCGAACCAATTCACAGGAGATCGATTCCAGGTTCCCGAAGAGTCGCAATGTACAATTGCTACTAGTAGGCAAGTGACTTGGTGACCTTTGCCACTGTAATATGTCTGCTTTTCATATCACTCAGACAGCTGATGATGATAACCGCCTAAAAGACACAAACGTTGTCAGGGAATGGAGAAGCGCCTCTATCACTGTGGGGCATCCATTCATTGATCGAGCGATTCTCGGCCGACTTGAGACAAAGAGTACCAGTCGTTGCACCGCGGTCGTTGATAGTTAATTAAGTCTAACTGTGACGAGATGAACGTTAGGCTTGTGCTTCGAAACAGCACGTTGTGGCTATCACAGTAAGGTCCGTCCACCAATCAATTGTATCGATACTGTACCAAATGACATATCTGCTGATCATCCACTTTTCATGGAGGTGATTGTGGCAGGAGTGTTCGGAAATATTCTGGACCCTCGAATTGACAGGTGAGCGAATAGATACGATCGTGAACTCGGTTAGGCAGAGAAAAAGCACTTCGCAAGAACTGATCTACTATCAATAATTAACCTCTCTGAATCACAATTAGCTCCGAGTTTTCCTGAGGAAGTTGTATTCCATCCATCTCTCTCAATTCGAGTCTCTTGCGACTCCTCATCGTCAGTCCACCAAGTTACTGACGATATATGAAGAGAAGCAATTGATCATCCTTGGGATGCGTCTACTTTTTCGCATTTTTCCGATGAATTCGACATGTCAACGAGAATGACATGTGGGACGCAACGTGTTCGTGGTGTGCGAGTGGAAACAGCTACTTACCCACCTTTCGGGTCTAAGTTGACGTCACTGGAGCTCTAATGGACATCGTTCCAGACGTCTCGCACCCCTCGATATACCAGTTTATCACTCTCACCTGGTTGGGATAGCTATGCAATCTGCTACGAAGTGTATTGCAAGGCCCATTAGCTACACTTTGTCTTGTAGTGGTATCCGTTGCACTGTGCCAAGTTGTCGAAGATCCTCTTACTTACTGTTTGCGACTCCTCTGCGTCATCGATTGTCTTCATGCATGACAAGAGCATTTGATGTCGAGGGATGATGTTATACACGCTGGCAAGTTATAGATGTATCTTTTCTTTGGGAAGAGGATGGGGAGCGGTTTAATTGATGGTTTCTATCCGTATTAGTCGCGTGAATACAATGTGATATTCAAGGCTTGAGAGTAATGGACACGGAACTTGGACATGGCCGATGCTATCGGGACGGCATCGAGTAGTAACTTACTAAGCCTGTCGAACTTGATCACACGGTACCTACCACCGGCCGGCATCGATACCTAGTACCGGCCACAAAACACGGTGCATCTTCCACACCGTTCGGACGACGTCTGCTTGCCATATGGTTCACTGACAATGTACGGTAATCAAGTAAAAGGGGAATAGCATAATTTCATGATGACCTTGGACCAGCGTCCTACTCACGTGCATCCCGCATCATCATGTCGCATGATTCTCGCGTGCCACGGCGCAACTTCAAGTTGAAACTTCAACATGACTTTGATTTCTCGCCTAATTTCTCTGGCTCTCTCTTGCTCTTACTCTGGCACCAATGTGCTCCATTACAACCCCGTCATCGACTTCTCGGATGCATTCGCAGCGATTCAGAGCTTCGAAATGTTTATCTTGGTGGAGTCCGTGGCGTTCCGATGCCCGAAATTATTGTGATGAAGTAACTGACTTGTGATGGTTTCATAATACATGTCCACTTTTAAATGCGCGCGCGAAGTCACAACTGGTATAGTTCTTTTTCTTGCTGTGATTCTGAAGATTGCTCCAAATTTCTCAAACGAAGGAACAACCTATTTGGAACATCCGGTTATTACCTTTGCAAGGGCAAATTCTCGTCGTGAGCTCCACGAATCGTCCGCAGTTAGCACCTGCCAATCCCTCTTGGTGATCCACCTACCATTCTTCATGTCACGTTCACTGTCGGATGGTTCACCGGCGCGAACCAGCAAGTGCATTTGGCCATTGTTGGAACGATATGTCAGCTAGCATCAAGGAGATCAGTACTTTCCATTCACTCTTAAGATACATCACTAATACAGTGCATCAGGAATATAAGAAAAAGGCCGTGGCGTGGGTGAGTATGATCATACTCGTTCAATGACTTCCAGTCCCTGGGGTCTTTTTAGCTTGGTTCTTCTTCGATGGTGCTGAATTGCCTTTAGCTTACGCACAATGCGACCTCCTTCATCGTCGGTCTCAGGCTGGTCCATATCTGGCTTCATACAGTGCCTGTGCTTTAGATTCATTCAACTGAAAAAGGTCAGAGCTAATTTGGTTACCGGGCCCGTGAGCTTGCAATTTTGTATTTCCTCGACAATGCAACACATTCCTATGTGAAAGTGGTCGGCAGTTTTACGTTGGCTATTGTGATGCTCAACAAGATATTGCTATAAATACCAAACTCATCTGTTCACAGGTTCACTGATGTGCCGCCCGCCCTTACACCCTATCCAAAACTCGCTCGATGAAGAGAATCGCTCTCGAGCTCCCTACGCTACTCGATCTCGAGCTTAGTGGACAACGAGCAAAACTAGGCACGGTCGATCATTTTCAGATGAATTTAAACATTCACATTGCTCAAGCGGTACAAAAATTTGTCTAAAAGCAACTGTATTTATTGGCTCCGAACTATAAGGTATTGCACCATTAACCAACCATGATACCAAAGCAAAAGGAGAGACACGACTCACTGTCGCGTACGCTTCGGGCTGCCGGTTCAATTTCCAACCGACTACTAGTTGCACGACCAATTCTAAGGCGCGCGCGTGAGTCATGTGGTTGAGTCCTGGTTGCACAGCAACCTGCTCATACTCACAGTACAAATAAAACTGCAGCAATCCCCATCTGATATGCAACCTTTACCCGAATGGTTGCAACTTGCACTGACAAACTCCATAGATGCTATCAAAGTGACAACAACGGCGAGGAGGGAGAAACGCATTTTCTGTGTGAAGTGATATGGAATCTTCTGAGGAGGTTCTCGAATGATATCTGTGATGATGGGGAAACACTGTAAGACAATGACCCAGCTTTTATATCCTGCGTATACGTATAGGATAGGGACGATTCTGATCGATTTGGCAGAATTGTTATTGCTGTCAGATGGCAGAAATTTAGGCAGAACCTGCGGGAGCGTATTCACCTGATGGCGAGCATCGAATTATGGCCTGCCTGCAGGTACCAACAATTTTCTTCTTCCTTGCAAATTGCAACTACAGGATGCTCGCTTGAATCCCCGCTCTTTTTTTCCAATCCCTCACCCATCGCTTCATCATTTGAACCTGCGGTGACCCTGTCAGTGCAGTGACAAAGCTGAGAAGTTGATGCTCGTTCTCGTCGATACTTCCAATATGTACTTGGTCAATATCTCATTTCATTTTTGTCTCACTCACTCGTTGCTCCCTCCTATGTAGCACCTGCTCGTCAATGGCATTAGTAGGCCGGTGACCCTGCAGTAGCTGCGCAGAGATAATGAGGTATCGTTCAGAAATTGATATCATTCTCATTCTTGGCATGCACTTGGTCGGACATTAATCATTCCTGGTACCGTAATCATGGTCAGAGACATCACAGCTCCCTTTTTAGACACCCATGACGATATCAAGTTATTCCATGGCATGCCCCGATGACCCTATACTTGAAGACAAGAAATAATATTGACATAATTAGTAACTATCAATCAACGTCAACGCTCTTCTGGGTTCCTCTTCCCCCATCCAACACTCACTCGTTTAAGAGAACCACTCCCGAGCTCAGCTGCCTTGTTATTTATATTGCGAGCAAATCGACGGGGATACTTATGTGAATGTAAATATTATTGTACACTTTCAAATCACCACATGGCAGGCGTGTTTGTATTCTGTCAGCTGCTTTCTCCCGAAGCTCCAATGCGTTTGTATTTCATTGGTTCGGATGTGCCTGGTTCCGAGTGTTCAATAGTTGTTGACACTTATTTACCATTGGCGACCAATTGCAGATCACCTCCGTTTGTTCTTTAACGTGATTTCTTATAATACAGTTGTCTCCATTCTGCCACTCTGTCACTTTCTCAATGAATATTGTTGATGCAAATCTGTATCTGTATCCTTGTATCATGGAGTGTAACAGTTGAATTCCATCACGCGTTCTTGCGTCAGGGCAGAACATCCGACCTTCGCAAATTCCCCGCCATCCGATCGCAGAATTTTCGGCAGAACCTGCAGGAGTGACGAGTGTGTTCAATCAACGACAACTCGCCGTAACTGGAGTCAGGGGTATATTTCATGATATGTAAGTTCTCCCGCATGAATTACTGATTTGAACCGTCTCTGAATCCGTCTCTTCGCAGCTCTCCACTCTGCGTTTCGGTTGTTCTACTTATGCTATCTGTGTGCTGTCAGTAAAGAACAATCGTTTCAGTCTGTGACCATGCGTCTGCTGCCTCATTTCTGTCGGCTGTGCCTGTCGTGGACGTGACACGGCTGTTACACTACCAGCTTCACTGAAATTTGATCTACGCGACACCAGCCCAGTGAATATCCAAGTGGCAGAAATGAGAAGTTGCGCAATAGTATCCGGCCAAATATAATCCTTATTCATGATAATGCTGTATGCACCGGCAGCAGATCAAACGAGAGCCTCGACCAAAGCGACAAATGAGAGTAGTACGGTGCGCCATAAAGGAACAGTATTGTCGATGACAAGGTCGTCTGTTTTTCCCTTGACTATCTGGAGCTTCGGCCTCGCGCAAGGTCAAGAAACTGCGGAAGGGCGATTTAATAGCGCTAGCAAGTGGACGAGCGAATGCAGGAATCCGGGGTATGGAGAAGAGACACAACGCTAAGACGAGCGCAGCGGTACAATCGCCACAAGGGAGGTGCGTACGCAGGCATCTGATAAATCAGGTGCATTGACGCCTAGGCATAATTGAATCATTGCTCTCCAGAGAAGCTGTTGGGCGGGCTATCCCGTGCACTTTCTGAAGTGGTAGTGGTAATTGTGGTCGACAGTGGTGAGTAAACCTGTCGAATTCTAGAGTAACAGTAGGGAACACGTTGAACGTACGTTCGACAAGCTTGTTCAACTGTTTGGTCAACGCTTGTTGGAACAACTCATTGCCATTCCATACTAAACGGGGTAGTCGCTCCACAACGGATCGCGAGCTTGCGAGCGCTGACGGGTGAAGCCAGGCCTTCGTAGCGTTGCCATGTGGAGATTCTCCTTCACAGTGCTTCCTCCTTAGCGAAGCACTGTGGCCCGTGCACTCCTCTTAAGACGGGACTTCGAAGATTCTCACTCGCCTCGTTTTCTCCTCTCAATCCCATCTTCCTGTGCGACGCGCGTTCAATTTTTTCGACCCACCCACCATCCCATCTTCATTCTAGCGTTCCTTTTGGTTTGGACTTGTGTCTCCTTCACGCCCGAGGGCTGCTCACGTCCTAGATCAAAACGCGCTCAGAAGGTCTGTCTTTTGTTCTCGGATCCCGATTCTCAATTTTAATCTTCAATCATTATCTTCTCAGGATTCTCGCTTCGAGCACAAACCCGACGCTGTCTTGCGTCGGTCTGGCAAAGCCAGACCTTCCCACACAAAAACCGAATCTATAGCATCCCAACCTGCTGTCGATTCGTTCTCGTCTCCCTCGCGCTATCAGCGCAAAAGTCATTCCTCTCAGCACTGGAGATTTGTATTCCTTACTACATCTCCGCAAGAAGCTCACTCTCCTCGTTCTCCACGCATCACAACGTAATATACGAAGGCCAATACTGATATATAAGCAATAGGTGCTAAGTTGCATATTACTTACGTATCAGTATTAGTCCCATAATGCAACGGTGCGCAGTATCAGCGGCACTACGCAAGATTGTCGCGGGCAGAGGAAACTTACTAGTACGATACGCAGTATCAAGCTCAGCGGCCATCGGCGCAAAATTGCCGCAGGCAGCGGCTAATATCGCGACAGGCTGCATCAAGTACTGAAGTACTGACAAATGATATTAGTACCTTGCGCCAGCACGCAAGATGCGGCAAGAATGTATCTGCCTTCAGGGCAATCTTTTCGTACAGATTGCCAGTGGTCCTTTGCAATACATATGACACAAGTGCCCTGGCAAATATCTATTTTTATCTCGAATACCCATCATCGTAGCGCCCCTGACGCGCCTGTTCCCAAGTTCCTACACGTGACCAACGTGATACAAAGTGACCGAGGACAATGTCTATTGATCAGAAGCCTTCTGCGTCAAACGGCTACTCAGTTACATTGGTACTACGTAGTAATATTGCGGACATGTCCTGTCACAATCAACAGAATGGAGTAAAAGCTCATCTGTTTTTCGAAATATCAGAAACTGCTGTAATTGAAGCTATGCTGCGTCCAGCGTCTCGCTTCATATTACTCACAAGTTGACGTGCTGAGGGGTTAACGTTTCCCGTCACCGACAGTATAATGCACTGCAAGTTAATATATAACTTATGTTTAAAAAAGCAAGTAGGAATAAAGTGGAATCCTCTGTTTCTCTGACAAGACGACCAGCGCAACAATAAGGATGAGGACAGGGATGGGTTGCTACTGCGAACCATCCATAGATATAAGAAAGAAAAGAGCACGACGATAATGAGAGTTGGCACTGGACAGAAGGGGCTGGTGACTAGTGTGCCGAAGATGTGGTACCGAATATGATCGATAGCAAGGTGGCCCAGGTCGAAGTTTACTACTAAGCCCGTGGCAGTCCTCAATTCATCGAAGATGCTGGTTCGGTCTAACAATTTGGGAAGATTCCTTGGGTACCTAGTAAAAACAGCATTTAATGTGGGGCAACCTTCAGTTACATCGACGAGGGGCTTACCAGGATAATACCAGAACGTTACACTCAAAATCAGGTACAAGCCTAGAGAGTGCATTGAGTACGAAGCGCACCAAAAAATACCACAGAAACTTACACATGAGGATCATTCCTTCCAACCAGTTTGACTTCCCGTCCTGCACGACGTAATTGACAGTAAGGACTATTTTCCCCTTCCGATAAGCACGTTCTCCCGCTTCAATTCATTCACGCACCGGAAAGAAACAGGACAATGGATTCCAGCGGGTCGAAGAGAAGTGTCAGTGGCTTATCCATAATCCAACCAAGTGTCACGATGAATCTGAAACCATCTGAGTAAAATGCTATGTAGAAATGGACAAGAGCACAACGCACGGAATCACAAAGAGCGCAATTTGCTGAAAACGGTCAGTCACCATGGAAGCTATGTCTATAGGGGCGAACTCACAATACTCGAACCCACAGCAACGCCCAAGCTCAAAGTCAGTTTATCCTTGACGGATACCGTAACTGCAGTAACGTGCTCCGCTGCATTACCGACGATCGGGAGCAAAATAATACCAACAAACTCCTTGTTGATCAACCCAGATGAAGTCAGGCCATCAATTGAGTCAACGAGGAATTCTGCAGTAACAGCAACCAACTAAAGCGAAAAAAATTGAGAACTTTGTGTGACTATCACGGTAAGCACGTACCACAGTTACGACAACCAAAAGCCAAATGCACACAGCAAGGTTCATCGATGGTTGCTCAAGAGCCTCAGTCTCCACTGATGCTATGGAATTTGTCCCAGGTTCTACATCAGGGTTGGCATCTGCGGGGCGGGACAACGTTGTGGCTGCCTCTCTGTCATGCGTCGAACTCGGAGAATGCACTGTTTCGCCGTCCGTGATATTCCTACGTGTCCTGTGTAACCGAAATGGGTTGGGGCCTGCATAAGCCTTGGTTGGTTGCATATCTCCGGTGTCATCATCGTAGAGGCCTTTGTGCGAAAATAACTGAAAAACAAGATATGAGGCGTAGACTGGATGATTGGAATAGGTTTAGTCAATTGCTAAGAAAAACATTTTGTTGACCTACTGAAAAGGAGAATGATTGCAACCTATACGAAGAACGTAAGACCAAACATTACAAACAAATGACCCACGTACGCCATGGCTAGTTTTCAATATGTTGTAATCGGTCGACAATTCGTCATATTCTGGTTGACCCTGAAGAGCCATGTGAAAAGCCCCAGGTAACAGAACAGCAATCACGCTGATGGTCAGTAATGACGAATTAAGTTGCACAGCACCTAAGCCATGGACGCGAGCATCAATAGTCTGGACCAACTTGAAACAAGCAACTGCATACTTTGACCAAATCCCTGTTCCGAGAAACGGAGACCACCGGCAAAGAAACACATGCCCAGTACCAGTACTACGCACATTAATTTATTTCGTTGTAGTAAGCCTAAACACTTACAGAGATTGCTCAGGATAGAGCCCACCACTATAGAAAAATAAACACATGTCAGGTTAAGGGAAGCTGCAACAGAGTAAAGATATGGGACACATACAGGACGACTGAACGATTGTAAGCTGACACTTCGCGAGCGCGATGATCTAAAATGGGTCAATTGACCATTGCACAAGCTGCTTGAGGCTAGCACGACGTACTGATACGATGAGTTCGACGCTGTGCGTGAAAAAAAAGTGAGAAAGTGATCAACTGAGAAAAAACCTACTGACGCATTTCCCTATAAACCGTCAAATTTGAGCGAGATAAAAGACCGAAACAACATGAGTCACTAACTAATGTAGCGTTGAGAAGACCAGCTAGAGTTTGACCGACTCGTAGTGACAGCTCGTCGGTCGCGAAGGCGAGAAGCTGCGAGTACATCAAACCTGAACAAGAGCAAAAATGAATCTATGTTACCTTGGCTAGCGGTATGATAGCCAGAAATGTAACTGGAGCGATGTGTAAGTTAGGTTGCAGTAAAAGTCAATTCGTGTACTTACAAACAAATATTAGAGTGTAATGATCGGGGAGAACAAAGTTTATAGCCCACTTTTGGACACCATGCGTTAGATGGTCGATGTTAAGACAGAAAGAAACATACAGATATCGGGATAAAGACCAACAAGACATTTAGCCCTAGAAGACGATATCAACGCAGTGCATTGGTTGCAAGTAAATCATTTTACATGAAGCAAAAACAATCGCTTGAATGCTCTTCCACACGGTGGGGGCTTTGGCTATCCGTTTTTCTGGTTGCGCCATTAAGGTTACAGCTCTTCTGAACTTGGCCAGCCAATTGAGGGACTGCTTTTGACGTTTGCTGCCTGAAGTACTTATGCGTGGTCGATTGGCAGATGCGGATGGTATTTGGGTAAGCGGGAATGTTTCCTCTACAGCATCGGGCGCACGGACGCTACTTGCAGTGAAATGAGCCATTTCTGAAGGCCCGTCATGTAAGGAACCTGTCCGTGGTGGCAAGGATGATGAGCAAGATCCATGGTTGTGATGGCTTTTGGAGAATCTAAACGCACCCATGGTACACAGCAATGGCGGCAGGAGGGCAGTCGTTGTTGCTGCTGCGTTGGAAGCTAGCCTTTAACTGTGGTGTGCCACTGCCGTTGTGCCAAGAATTTCGTGTTCTAAACGACTTTTCTGGAAACTACGTTCTATATATGATCGATGATCGATGACGGAGATTTAATTGAAATTTCTGTAAACACCAAGGCCAAGCTTGAAGCACTTTCAATTATGCTATAGTCCCCACGCCGCATCCAAGACAATTCACAACGGTGATTGTCTTGCAAGTTGCAATTTATCTGTACCTTGTGCGCACAATTGAAACGTGTTCAGTTCGACAATGGCAGTCAAAAGCGTGGCATCGGCTATGCCTGTCAAGTCTGCTATTTTGATTAGCCTTCGGCATAACTATCCACTTCTGCCGAATTACTTGGGAGAAAGTGTCCAACTTTCACTCACACTGGGGCTACTGGGCACATAAAAGTCAACTCCGCAGTCTCGCAATGGTAAAATCAAAGACAAGCCATCGTCGTAGACGCCCCTCCGTCAAATTACAGTTCATGGTTTCCGAGCAGGTCGGATATGGAAGACTGCCAGTATGTAGCAGTGACATTGCCTCGCGGCGCGCCCATTAATATGTTCGGGTTTGATATACTTACCGCAGGCTGCCCAGTCGAATGGTAAGTAGAGACGCGTTTCACAACGTCATTCGCTTGGACTGGTGACAACGCCGACCCTTATAGCCGACCCATCGATGCGGAGTCTTGTGGTGAGGGGGCTAGGGGGCGGGGGGTTTCGAGTCTAACGAAGGGCGTAAGCTGAAATGGACATAGGTTTTCAGCGATTGCTACTCCCAAAGAGGCAAACCCATACCCACAAAATTACCTGGTTATAAAGAAGGCCTGGAGGACATGATACGGTGGATCGGGTTAGCCGAGCGAAAAGCTTGTTAGCATGAGCCACTGTCCATCGACCGCTTTCCTAGCAAATGTCCAGCAGGCATGGTATGATCTAGCCTTGATATCTGCACGGTGCTCTAAAGAAAGAGATCAAGATGTGATTGGCCTATGTTGTGAAGCTATATTTACCTTGATGTTATCGAAGAGAGCGAGTCCTACAGCACGGAGATGATGCGGGCACCGGGAGAGATGAAAATAGCCATGAAAGTGACCATCTAGACCAAAGGGCTGTTCGAGAAAGCAATCCGTCCCGGGGTGCACTAGTACCCTGAACTGGGCGCTGAACTTTTATACATAAGGTTCCAGACACGAAACACTGAAACACAAACTCTCATTATGACGGGCGTGCCACAAGATGGATACCCTCAATGGCTCGCTCAGACAGGAAACCGAGCCAGTGCGGCAACGCAATTGAATATTGAGATCTCGAGACGTCGTTCCGGTATGAAGACTCTATGCGTTTCCAGTTTATGCTTACGGTAACATTGTTACATGGGCAGCATTCATCGAAGACCAAGAGGTGTACGAAACCCACCCAGACTCCAGCTCAAGTTAAGGGAGAAGCACAAAATGACGTGATTTTGTGCCGTCATTACCTCTGCAGCAGCTCAAAAACTCGAATTTTGCTTCTAAACATTACCCCTTGCACAGAGCAGTATACCACACGTTCTCATAACGTACCCAGGATTTTCCGCCACGAAAATTGACGTCTCTAGATCTGAGCATCTGTGCTTGAAACGGGCCTAAGCTTCACCCATGCCGTCACTCTTTCAACAATCACGTGACCTGGAAATTTTCGGCCCGTTATAAAGTACCTTTGTGTTATCAATTGATGGAACCGAGCTAGCTCGGAGGCTGACTCATAACAGGTCTCCAAATACTCGGCTCCAAGTCGACTCCACTCTTGTCTCGCTGTATAATCTTGCAAAAAACCGCCTCGCTATCTCATCTCTTAGAATGGCTTCAAAATCTAATACAAATGGCGCAGTTGCTGTTTCCTTGCCAAGTAGAGAAGGAAACACAAACACTGAGCCACCAGTATGGCCTTTGGACGCCAGTGGAACACTTACCCCACCACTGCCGGCGAGATGTGACAGGCACGATCGCCTTGGATGGCGTCTGCTGCAAAGACTTGAAAGACTGACGATGACCGCACGCTTATCGATCCTGATGTCATTCGTGATATGTAAGTACTAGTAATTGTCTCGGTTTCACCATATCGGACAGAACGTTGAGATAATTTGCAGTGTCATCGGACTTTCAGACGGCTTGACAGTCCCCTTTGCTCTAGCAGCAGGTCTTTCATCTTTGGGCACCTCAAGATTAGTTGTCGCTGGCGGAATAGCTGAACTCATCGCTGGTGCTATTTCTATGGGCATTGGTGGCTTCTTAGCATCTTCGGCAGAGCGGGATCATTATCACTACATGCGACGCCACATATCGGCTCGGGTGCAACGGAGCTGCGTTGGAGAAATGGAAAGGGAAGTATGTGCTGTACTTGTCCCCGTAGGTGTCGACGAGAAGGCGTGCCAGGCGGTCACCAAGTGTCTCAGAGATGCTGAATTTGACCCCGAAGTCAGTGCGAACGGTTCATCGTCAGATGAAGAAGCGCAGTTGCTGAGATGGAAGGACCAAGTCGGTTTGACACCCTTTTTACTCAAATTTGGAGAGGGAATGGGTGTGTATTGTTTTACTTTTCAATACCGCTCATATTCATTGTTTCATTTTTAGAGGAAATCTCGATTCGTCGAGTATACTCTTCGGCGCTGACAATTGGCTTAGGGTACTTGGTTGGCGGAATCATTCCCCTCATTCCATACTTCTTTGTTCCGCAAGCGCATGTAGCGCTCGTATACTCTTGTATTGTCACAGGCATCGTTCTGTTGATATTTGGAGCTGTGAAATCTCGTGTTACGGGTGCTGGGCAGGGTGTTGGAGGCTACATATGGGGAGCAGTCAGCACTCTATTAGTTGGTGGTACCGCTGCTGCTGCTGCTTTTGCTCTTGTTGCATGGCTGGAAGATTCATAACCACTTACATCGTATGTAAAGCTTGTACAAGTCGTTATTATCATTATGTGAGATATCGCTTTTATAAGTTCCGCTGGAGATCGCTTGTTTGTAAAATCTTCTGAAATCAACAATCCCACGTGGCGGCTGTGTCTAAAATCTTTAAGATCTTGATCTTGATGATCATCACAGAAATCTAACCGCCAACTCAAACGCTATTGTTCAAGCTATGGAGGCGTACGAAACGTATCAGACTCCTCTTTCCAGGTATTTCACTCTTCACCAAGTCAATTTCCATCTCGATTCACCTCTGTGATAGCCGATATGCCAGCAAGGAAATGGCTCACCTCTTCTCCCCGGCAGTATGTGATCGCATCGTCTATTGCAACTCCTGCTTAACTTTATGACAAGCATCGGTTCAAAACATGGAGAGAGCTATGGCTCAACCTTGCGATTGCTGAAAAGCAGCTCGGACTTCCTATCCCGGATGAGGCACTCGAACAGATGAAGAGCAATTTGGTGGGTGAATAGATTGGTATTGCATGTTACGTACCTCATTTTCAATGTGGCCAGGACCTTACTGCAGAACAATTCGATATTGCTGCAAAAGAGGAAAAGAAGCGTCGCCACGATGTCATGGCGCATGTTCATACGTTCGGACAAGTTGCACCTGCTGCCGCGGGTATCATTCAGCATGTCATGTCACTGTCTGTTTCGGTCCTTTACTGAACGTGTGCTCATTTCAGCCTCGGTGCAACGTCGTGCTATGTGACAGAGTAAGAGTCGGGATTTCATATCCGCTGTGACTTAGACTGACACTCGATTGTAGTAATGCGGACTTGATTTTCATTCGCACCGGCTTGACGTTCCTCCTTAAATCGCTTGCTGTTGTAATATCACGACTCTCGGCTTTTGCTGCACAATATAGAGCACTACCTACGCTTGGATTCACGCATTTCCAACCAGCACAGCTTACAACTGTGGGCAAACGTGCTACTCTGTGGATCCAGGTGCAATGTCTAATATATTAAAGTTCTGGATGTAACCTAACACGTATTACACGCGCAGGAGCTTCTATGGGATTTGAGGAACATTAAACGGGCACGCAACGACATCGGATTCCGTGGCGTCAAAGGCACCACGGGGACACAAGCGAGCTTCTTGACCTTGTTTGACGGCGACCATGACAAGGTCGAAGAGCTGGACAAACTTGTGACAAAACTCAGCGGGTTCGACTACGCATACCCTGTTACCTCGCAGACATATTCGAGGAAGATAGATATTGACGTCCTTGCCCCTCTCGCGTCCCTCGGCGCCACAGCGCACAAGATCGCGACAGATCTGCGGTTGCTAGCGAACCTCAAGGTCATCTTATAGCCTACTGATTCGATTTTACCGTTATTGACGGTTATCTATTAGGAAGTGGAAGAGCCCTTCGAGTCGACGCAAATAGGGTCCTCCGCAATGGCGTACAAGCGGAACCCCATGCGCTCGGAGCGTGTGTGCAGTCTTTCGAGGCACTTGATGGTCCTCCATCAAAATGCACTTATGACTTCTAGTGTACAGTGGTTTGAGCGGACACTCGATGACAGGTAATAATTTCCGATTAATCAAGGATTTGTGGGTTGCATGCTGACATGACGATGTCAAGTGCAAACCGAAGGATAACTCTTCCTGAGGCATTCTTGACGGCCGATATAGTTCTTTCGACGCTACAAAATGTCTGCGAGGGCCTCGTGGTGTACCCGAGGGTTATCGCACGCCGGATTGGCCAGGAACTTCCGTTCATGGCGACTGAAAATATTATTATGTCTATCGTCAAGAAGGGGGGCGATAGGCAAGAAGCTCATGAGAAGATCAGAGTAAATGACCCTCTATACATATCACTGTTGTGGCACCATACTGATACTTTCATCATACTAGGTCCTCTCCCACGAAGCAGCACACCAAGTGAAGAATCTCGGCCTCGAGAATGATCTTATCGCACGTGTGCGAAACGACCCATATTTTAGTCCTATCCACGAGGAATTAGAGCAACTGCTGGAACCGCAAACCTTTATCGGGCGGGCACCAGAGCAGGTGGACAAGTTCCTGAAGGAGTGGGTTCAACCAGCATTAGATGAGGAGGAGCTGAAAGTGGCAGTTGCGGACGGTGTTAAAGTGGAATTGAGCGTTTGACGAAGCTCTTGAGAAGTTTCATACGGGGAGGGGTAGCCACCTACAAGAAGTCAAAAAAGCGAAATTCATACATATCACTAAATTTAAGGATGTTCTTACTCTCATGACAAGATGCCGAGATCCCGGTGCGGTGTTGGAAAAGTTCAACAACCGCTAACCGCAGGTCTGTTCGCAGTAAGCTGTAACGGGGCTCACGGTTCTTTGTCAGTTGTCCGTCTTTCCGTTGCTTTCATAAAGCGCAAGGTAGTAACAGAATACCCCGGATCCTAGCGGACGGTAAGCAATTTGTTCGAATCAATTTTTTGTCTTAGGATGGTGAATTGACGATCAACGGAATGCCAGGTGTGCCATCATCTCCCACGCCGTCGCGTGTGGTCTTCTCATTTCAAGCCTTCGAATATCAACATTCTTTGCATCTATCACCCATCCTGTCATCCTTCGTAACTGCTGGCTAAAACTAAAGATCTGAGCTGCGGTACATACTATCAGAAGCGGGTATAAGAAGAAGCTGTGAGTCCTCCTCCTTGTCTCTTTTAGTTATGTTCGGGCAGTCCAGCAATCCCCACGCGGCTGTGTTGTTTTTATATGTATATGTAAAGAGTGGCCAGCTTTCGGGTCGAACTATATACAAAATCTAACTGCGAGCTTCACCAGTTTCTCTTCGCTCGTATGGACAGTCTTCAAATCCCAGACAATTCTTATGCAGGTCCTTCTCGACACCATGGCGCTTCGCGTACTGTGTCTGTGTCTGTGCAGCCATCACCTGTAACCACGTCACAGTCCACGTCACGGAGACAAAGAGCATCACACCAAGTGGTCTCTTCGCAGCAGCAACTGCAGCAGCAAGCCGAAGATCAGCCCGCTTATCGTGATGTTTACTCGCACCCAGCTGCTGTGGCATATACTGCAGCACACCCAAGGCGTACCATTCCCAAGTTTGGGCCTTATATTTTACTTCAAACTGTTGGCGAAGGAGAGTTTGGGAAAGTGAAGCTGGGGTTACACAGTCAATGGGGAGAAGAAGTTGCTGTCAAGCTTATACGGCGAGGCAACATAGACACTTCTGTGCGGATGTCCAAGGTGGAGCGTGAGATCGAGGTTCTTCGGGTAAGAACTCCATACGTTCTAGAATCGAGTCCATGATGCCGATAACCGTCCATTCATAGACCCTCAAGCATCCTAATATCGTTCGGTTATACGACGTAATCGAAACGGACAAATATATCGGCATAATTCTCGAGTATGCCTCCGGCGGCGAGCTCTTTGATCACATCCTGGCTCATCGGTATTTAAAAGAGAAAGATGCTGCCAAGCTCTTCTCTCAGCTAGTTTCGGGCGTCTGGTACATCCACCAAAAGAAGATTGTTCACCGCGACCTCAAGCTTGAAAATTTGCTTCTCGATCGCCACCGTAATGTCATTATCACTGACTTCGGATTCGCCAATCGCTTCGAGCATCGTGCAGATGACCTCATGCAGACGAGCTGTGGTTCACCTTGTTATGCCGCTCCAGAGTTAGTGATCTCGGAAGGGCTTTATGTCGGTTCTGCCGTCGACATCTGGTCCTGTGGTGTCATATTGTATGCCATGCTCGCGGGATATCTTCCTTTCGACGATGACCCTGCTAACCCTGACGGTGATAACATTAATCTGTTATATAAATACATTGTCAACACACCCCTCTCTTTTCCCGACTATGTCTCCGCGGAAGCCAGAGATCTCCTCTCTATGATGCTGGTCCCCGATCCCACACGGCGTGCTGATCTGCGGTCCATCATGGCACATCCATGGCTATCAACGTACTCCTATCTCTTTGAGAAGACCGTGGATGACCTGGAACACGTCGCAATGGAACAACACCAGCAGAGGAGACTGGCATACCAAAGGCAAATGAGGCAGGCGGCGGCAGCCGCTGCAGCCAAAGATCCTGCCAAGGTGTCACGGACGCAGAGCGCACGGGTTGAAGGCATATTAAACAGTGCCGTGACCTCCGCACCACCGCCAAGGAGCCACTCATACAGAGACCAACCTTCTGGCCAGCCGGAGCTGATCTATGACAGTTCAGTAGACCAGTCCATTTACTCGTCTTCTCCCGCCAATACTGTTCCCGCTTCCCGGAAAGGCGCAGTTTCTGCCGTCGTTATGCCGAAGACAGTACAATCGTCCAATGATGATGATCCCTTCGCACCATCTCCGCATGCTGTTCATATCCCCGTCACCATCTCCAAGCCTGATGACTCGCTGTCGGTTGGAACGAGCAGTAGAGAAGGTAGCTCTCAAGGAGCCCTGTCTTCTCGTAACGGTCCTCCGTCCTCTGTTCAACCAGATCCCGCAAAGAAGAAAGGCACAATTGATAGACACACGATCCAGGTCGAGTATGCCGACCACAGTGCTCCGGTGCCGGAGCTTGCTCCACATTTCAGTCAGTCTATCACCAAGAAGGACAGCTCACAGACGGGTACCTCAGATCGCATCCTTCCCACCCCAAACATCAGTACTCCTGCAAAGCAGAAGTCCAGTCACGACTCTTCCTTCAATACAAACCCAAGACCGCTTCCTGCCCCTCCTCCAGCCAGTACACCTTCCTCACGAAACCAACCATCTCAATTGTCTTCATCGACCTTACGCGCTGCGCAAAATCGGACACCCACCGTCTCAGTTTCTCCAGCAAGTCCCCCCATGTCTACGGAGGACAAGTCGTTTCGGTCTGTCAACACAGGCAACGGAACCAATTCAACGGGCTCTGCCTCTAGCCGCCATCGGAAAGGTCTCTCCATCGACAAGTTCGGTTTGGGCAAGATATTTGGCACAAATGGCGAGCAAGCTGCAGCTAATGGATCCACATCCCGTGTGCCGTCGGAGAGCTCTGCTGCTGGGGCATCCTCCATCGTAGAGGAGAGGAGAGGTTCAGCGCAGAACAGTGTCAGCGATGTCCCAACCTCTCAGTCCAAGTCTTCGCTCCTCAGCCCAGGGGGATCCAACAGCATCACTGATGCTGAGGCAAGCAAAAAGAACCGGCGCAACACCCTCACCGTTATCGTCGAGCCCTTCAGCCGCTCAATCAAATCACTCTCAAAGAAGACGCCTGCTGGTGACACGCCGGTTAAGGACAACGAGAAGAGCGTTCCCCCTTCTGCTGTTACCTCACCTCAAAAGCAAACTGCTGTGTTCCCCACCCTGGGCAAAGTGCAGGACGGACCCACTGGCGATATGGCAGCTTCAACGACGAAGGCACGGAACGTCATGCAATGGTTCCGGAGGAAGAGTACCGCCAAGGCTGGCAGGGACGTGCCAGACGATTCCCCTGAAATGTCTGCCTATCGTAGGACTGAGTATCCTTCTCCCAGTCCTACCTCGAGGATGGAGATCAGAAATGCGGATCTATCTAGAACACATCCTGCACAGGACGCATCCTTCTCGTTCAGCAAAGCCGGACGCATGTTCTCGTCTTCGTCGTCGCCAAAAGATGTTTTGCGTATCCATCATGGCGCTGTCGACCAGACCACTATCACGACCAGGCCTCCCCCCGAAGTTATCAAACACGTATGCCAGGTACTGGAGGGGATGGGTATCGAGCTCAAAGCGGAGAGTGAATACAAGTACCGCTGTATCCGTGCGAAGAGGAAGAAGAGCAGTGCTATTGGCTTGGGATTCACTGGAAGTGGTAATGGGTTGGCTGCGTTCACGATGGTTGGGTCTGCAGCATCGAATGGGGTGAGTTCAACCGGTCGATGTTGCGGATTGCTCTAATTTTGATGGCCAGGTTGACAAGCGTGGATTGCCTGTGCCATCGACTTCATCGTCTGCGGGAGGGATGCTCAAAGGCTTGCTTATGCGCAGGCAGTCTTCCCAGGTATCAGGCGTGGCGCCATCCCAAGCTTCAATGGACGATGACACTGGCGCCATGGCTTCATCGCCAGTTGACTCACAATCGGGCACTCGTGAGGCAATTTATGGTGATACAAGCCAAGATGCAGGGGATGAAGTTCGCTTCTCAATCGAATTGACACGCATAGATCGTTTGAAAGACACGTACAGCCTTGACATTCGTCGCCTGAAAGGCAATCTTAGGAGCTACAAGTTCTTGTATGACACCATCAGAGAGTGCGTCCCGCCGCTTCGGCTGTCTTTTGAACATTCACTGATCTAGTTTATAGGCGTGCCGATCTACAGCGATAATTTCAGGGCTGGAACCCTAAGCCATCGACACGCATCCATGCCCACTGCTCGCCACCGATACCCTACTCGTGCTGTAATCTCTCTCTTCTGCCTCAAGACGTACTGCCTTATGTCTCCCTTGCGTCGCTGTCTGGTCTAGTTTTCATTCCACTTGTGTTCATTGCTATCGTAGCTCCTTGGTTTCTGCATAAAGTCCATCATCGCACCTTCTGAGCCTTCAGTCAGCGTCATAAAATTTCATCTTTTTTCCCTTTATTCATCCTTGTCTTCGTTCCTTAGTTATAATTTGGCGAATCTCAATTCAAGTTTATGCTGTACCGTATATACGATGTGTCACTCGGACCACTCTTATTTACCCTCAAGGAATGGATAATGTACATAATTCACGCGACACAAATATTGAGATCTTATCTACGTCATACACCATCCTTCCATTCTTCAACTGCTTCTCGACGCTTATTCCACTTCTCCATCCTTAGTAGTGCGCATGAACGACCGATGGATGACGTGCTTGGGGTTAGGGCGTGCGAGATAAATAAGGTTCAGAAGTCATGGAACACGACAACCCGAAGCTACTGTGGTAGAACTGAGGCGTAAAGGCGTAGCTCGGCGTGTGTGGGAGGCAGTGGTAGGTCGGCATCAAGTCCTGCGGCAAGAAGTAGATGAGGGATTCATTGATGTAGCCCTCCGGCGAAAAGGGGACATATTCCGGCAGGGGCACGAGGTAGCCCCGCGGCGAATAGGGTGGTTTGGAAATCCCTTTGCTCATGCAGTTGTCTGTCTCAGCGCCCTCAAACAGCATATCTAGAGCGATCTGACTGTCATGTAGAAGCTGCATACGAACTGCATGTGACAATTGAGATTCTTGGAGTGCAGGGAGGAGCAAGTCCGAGCTGTCCTCAGGCGACAAAGGAGTCATCCTGTAATAGTCGTCCACTAAATCGCACCAGGTCGCGTAGTATGGCACAGAGTGCAGGTCTGCACTGAAAGGCGAGGGTGTGGAAGTGCTCGTGGGATCCAAGGTCAGGGTACTGTCCACACTGGTAGGCATTTGTGACTGAATGACGTGTTACAGCAAGAGATTGAGCAAGGAAGGCTGGGATGCAAAATGACTTGAGAGTCTTGAAGATTAAGATGCAGGTGGGAGCCTAATGAAGGATACCGGGAAATATCCCCATCGACAACTTGATCGAGCGGCTCATATTGTGTAATGTGGACTGATGGCGGGGTTTTCATTGTCGAGACTTTGAAAAGAGAAAGTGGTGAACCTTGATTTTCTTTGCCTTCAGCTCGTACAGGGTCTTCATTTCGGTGGAGTTGGTTTTGGTGGCAGTACAACAGGTTGTATTAACACGACGGACATCGACCAACTGCAAAGAAAATGTCGTAAATATTCCCCCGACAGTCCCACCCTCAGGGGCCACCCACCCAAGTTACAGTTTTCTCCGAGCCGTGACACTAATGGCAAAAGAGTTTGGCATACGCTGCTCTTGCATATCGACCAGCCTGTTCTCGAGGTGACTCAGACTGCTGGTGTGACTTCGCTTTCGTCGTGTTCTGTGTCGGGCCTGCCGCTAGGTTCAACTTAGCGTGAATATCTTGGGGATCTGCTAGAAGTAAAACCACCTCGTGGCCCAACTTGAATGCGCTTGGCAGATCCGGGATCTTGTCCGTCATGGTAGCCTAGTAGTAGGATGGGATTTAGATATGAGCCCTTCGGACTTCCCCAAGTCCAAGCGGGAACTTCCTTGACAACGTCGTGTCCGGTTGCGGATGACGTGACGCAAATCAAAATCGGCGATTAAACTTCAAGTTGGTGCTTATATCCTCGCGGCTCTGCTAACATGCTACGGACATCGACTAACGCAACGACGCGGCCCACTATGTACATGATACGACCATCCAGCTCACTGCTGTGTCGGAGGTCCTTCAGCCTTTTCACTTCCGTCCATCTCCCCTCAGCGCACGCGGCTTCCCGAGTTGCGTCTCCAACCAGTCGCACTCTTCGCGCGCTACTTAACCTCCAATTCAGTAATATCGGACTAATCTCGGCACGACCTCTTCTACCACCCCGTTTCGCTTCCAATAGTAGGCTCAGCCTATGCAGTTTCCTTCCTCACTCAGTACTCAACCACCACCGAATCCCTATTCGTGCTCTGTCATGGGATGGTTGCCCGCAGAGACTGCAGGGGAAGCGGACGCGGAAGCAGAGTTAAATGATTTCGTAGAGAACCGCATGTTATTTGCAGTAAATTGTTCCTATTGAATCACATACCCACTGAACTGACTGTTTGCATAGCCAAGTTTCGCGTAATCATGCACGACAATCCAAACCGGGTTACAGGAAAACGTGGTAGATATTTGGATCAACGCTGTACTGCAATTACAACAAGGCTGGATGCATATACACGGTATGTGATGCTCCCACTCTGCTTACGTTCGGTTAGAATCAAGAACATTGTCTCAGACAGCCACAACCTTCCAGCCCTAGGCAGAATAGGCGACCCAGATGATATCATCGCCTCTGTATTAGTGCAAGATAGCAAAGTAAGCTTTGATGCGTTCTGCTTATTATTACTCATCAGCTCCTTGGAAGATCCTTCCCGACACGTACTAGTCCATGCCATCTTATCGCCTTTGCACTTCTGATGGCCCGACTCTTCTCACAGAGGAACTTGCAGCTAAGTTGAAGTTGGTGCTAGAGGGCGCCATCGCCCGAGAAGCGGCATAGTGATGCCCCCTGTGGTCGCACCGTCGTCCTCATTACCGGGAGTACCCTCATGTTCGCCCGATGATTGCCGGTCAATCGTGGACAACTAGTACGTATTACTTGCATTTTTCACTGAGCAACAGTACTACATTCATACTTACATCTTCGCATAGCCACGACTCATCAGCCAAAACCCTCATGACTTGCAGTTCGAAAGTGAAAAATGTGCATCCATTTAGAACATGAGTCCAGCTCCAGAGAAGCTATACGATGAGATCACAAAATATACAGCACAGCCAAGAGCAGAGCACGGACACAGAAATCAAAGCAGGTGCGAGTAGTAGATACGGGGAGGATAAATGAAGAGGTAAGGGAAAATATACTGGGTAGATGTCATCAAGACTGTCATAAGATATGATGCATAGAATATGGCTCCTGGGCTATATTTTGTGACGAGGCAATGAGTCTTTACCGGTAGCTGCGTGGCGAGCGAGGTCCGAAGAGACCAGGACTGCCATCGTCAAGTAAAATCAGGTGAGGCCCAATCGACGGCGGCGTAGGCGCCAGTGCAGGGTCTGCTAGTATTCATGGCGTCAATTCACCTTCTTAAATGATGCTATGAAAACTCAATGCAGGTAACCCAGGAGTGCTCAGGCTGCCCCATAGGTGCAGGACCAAGTTCAGGGGGCGGTGGCTGGTCGGGACGTGGCTTGCGAAAGCGGTTCGTGTTGCGGAGTGTGCGCCATGATGGAAAAGGAGGCCCAGGTTCATCAGGAGGCGGGGGAGGCACCTCGAGCGGTAGCGGTGGATCAGGCGCACTAGGGCTAGGCATCGGTGGTCTCCTTAGACTCGTAACCAGTCTGACTATGCGTCAATTTGAGATGGTGAGAATTTATTGACGTAGTCAGACTGGTCGAACTCGGAGTGATTTGGCAGGCGAAGCGAGGAGTTTGAAATTTGACAGATGCCGGTATGCCGCTTTGGGTAACATTACCGCAAACTCTTTCGTTTGTACCGTGAAAAGTACAGTATCCTCTCAAATACGTTAACAGTACATCGCGCTGGAGCACTACATAATATTTGATTAGGATAAACTGCTCAAACTTTCCAGAGCTTGTCGCAGCTCGAAGTACAACGTGTCTCGCAGAAAGTAATGATATGAGGCATCTGAGCTGGAACAATTTCGCGAATCGGACGTTGTGATCCTTGCCAGTGGGAAAGAATATCGAGTCGCGAGAAAGCCTCGAGAACTTGCTGGTGTTGTGTCGTTGAGAGGGCCCTCGTAAATTGAAACTTAACATAGCATACAGTCTGAGCGAGAGCAGACGCATAACTTGTGCTATATGATCGTAACTACCTCCGGCACGACCGGCACCTATCAAATTTCAAACTCCTCGCTCCGCCCTGCCACGCCACTCCGAGATCGACCAGCCTGGCTACACCACTTGTGCAACCGTGGTAGTATTAGGCCAGGCTGGTCACGAGCCTATGGTCTCCTATCAAAGAATATGGGAACGACGCAAGTTAATGGTGAAGACATCTTACTACTCAGGATAAAACTCCCCTCCTGGTCCGTATTTATCTTTCACAGGTATCCAAGTTCACTGAAAGAGACAGATGTTCAGACACACGAACGATGTATTCAAACAACAGTGCACGAGCGCCTGAGAGTGAGGAAATGGCTTACCAATCGAGTGGCGCATAAAAGGCGTATGTCTGAGTGTTTTCGTTACTCTCACCGTCCCCATCTCGCTCCTCTTTTCAGTGGAAGGTTCTCGCATATATGCATTCATCAATTCCTTTCGTGTACATCTCATCTTCGAAATAACCCTGAACCCCCGCGAGGGGCGAGTGGCAAGAGCATTAGTAATTTTGGGATCATTTGGACATTATATCAACCACTCGCTACAGTACTGGCACAAATAACGAACGGCGACTCAAAACCACCACGTTATGACGGACGACGTAGCCCGAGTGCTGTGGCTAAGTTTTATCGTGGTACTACCGTCTGGGTGGTTGTTGAAATGCAATGTAGCAGTTTTTAACAATGCCGCAGACGGTACTACAAACCCAACACCATCCTAGCTTCCCCGGCGAACTCTCACATGCGCTCTAGCCAATCCCTAGTATTTCTGCTCGAATAGTTGCTGGTATCCGCTCGTCCCTCTCAACACTCAGTTGTGGCAGTACTCTAACAATGCCACATCCGAGCACTCCCGGCGGCGACCGTCCTGGGTGAGCAACATATTGCGCTGCCCATATGTGTCTCAAAGAAAAGGTCGATCTCTTGCTCTTCACAGGAAGTTGATCGTGATGTTAGCGGCGTCGCACAGCACTAACACTATTTTGCGGATTATACTATAGCAACCGAGGAAGTATTTTCTGGTCAGACACTTCGCATCTCAATACATCAAGAACTAGAGCGTCGCGAGGACAATGATTTCGGTAACATATGAAGGGAGCCTTGAACCCAGTCCATTTCCAGGTCGTTGCGTGAGAGATCTAGCAAGACGGATAATACGCACATGACCAACCACAAGAGCACTTGAGCAAGAGTGAAAATACGCTCACTGCAGCATTCGTTCAATTGCAAGAATGTCGCCAGCATCGACAAGGACTGAGTGCGGAATTCCTAGTAGTGTGTTGTGTATGATACCAAAGGTCTACATGTAAATAAGAATTACCATGTCAAGAACAAAACATTATAGTAGGAAATACAGTACAATGATGAAGTGGGTCCGATTAGAGTAGCAAGTGATGACTAGAGTCTATATCTCAACAGACAGAAATGGATCACAAAAAAACGACTTAGTGGAGAAGGTCTACGGGAACGATATGAGACAATAGAAAATATCAGCGAGGAGTAAGAGACGTGTCCAGGATCCGGCCTGTACGACAGTGATATTGCGTCGCGATGTCGTTCTGTTAGCCAATGCAGTAGTTGGACTGCGTCACTAATATTAATGTTGACCGCTTGTGTTCTGAATAGGCATACAACACAACCAGCCAACAAAACGAGCACGCCATCCAGTAACGGTGATATGAGGACGTGAGGTTGTTCCCGTTGCCTCAGCGGTACCGGAGACAATGGACGGTGTCGGGGCAGTCGCAATGGGTGGTAGTTGCTGTGACGATGATGGTGTACTCTTTGTTGCCGCGCTGTGTTGCTGCGTGATATGAGTATTGGAAGGTCGAGACGAGCTGGTGGCTAGCTTCTTCCTCGCGTGATGGTTCCTCTGTGGGAAAAAGAGTCAGTGGTTGGTCAGTGGAGAAGATGAACGAGAATGGAAACAAAACGCACAGGCTTTCCCGCTGTGTAAGGGACCTCGACCTCTCGCAACTGGATGTCTGATCCATCCCGTCTGCGTATACGAGATACTAGGTTTCGAGTCCAGCTGAGAGGTCGGGATCGGGATTGAGTGTCGCGCTCAGTTTCCCCATGTGACTTGGAGCGCCAGAATGATGAAAAGGGACTGAGGGTGTGTTGACGTGGTGCCGGAGCGCGGCGGTCATGTAGCTCATGGGATTGGGATAGACGAATGCGCAGCTGACAACATATCGGTCAGAGCATTTGATGATATATGGAGATTGCATACATTGGCCTCTCGCAGTGCATCGTCAAAGAACCCTGGATGTATTCGAGGAGCACCTTTCATATTTGGAACTGGTCGCGGTGTGACATCAACCTGAGGGAGCAGATCCGCCATCAGTGTCATTGAGAATGAAATGTGTTTAAGCCTACAATTTCTGACAGAAGACCAGCTTCTTTGATGATAGCGGAAACATCCCATGTGTAAATGTGGCCGTCGGGGCAGCTAGTGACGAGGAACTTTCCATCTGCAGAAAAGGTCGCAGAGTTCACCCTGTGTTTATGGTGAAGTGGTATTCCTATGGGTTGATTGGTTCCAAAGTTCCACAGTTGTACTGTGTTGTCCCAGAAATTTGATGTGCGTGCGAGGATGCACTCATTGGGAGATATTGAAATGATATAGACGAAGTGTTCGCGCACGTCAATGACAGTCCAGGTGGCTGTGTTGAATTTGGATCCTCCGGCAAAAAGCGTTTTGCCATCTGAGGTCCATTCCAGGCATGAAAAACAACCCTGGAGTGTTTTGAGCAATTCGCCTGTGTTGGCATTCCAGATTTTCAGCTCATCCCCGCCTGTGGCAATCACCTTAGCATCAGGTGAGTAGCAAACCGTGTGCAATTCCCCTGCTTTCATTGGTCCAATGATAGTTTTTCCGCTCTCGACATCCCATACTCTGAATGTTCCATCTTCGGATCCGCTCACTATTCGCCGTCCATCTGAACTCCAGCACGTGTGATGCACCAACTCTGTATGCCCCGTCCACTTTTTGATAACCGTGCCCGTGTCGATGTTCCACAATCTCACTGCGCCATCCCAACTCCCGCTTGCCACGATTTTGCCATCCGGCGATAGTGCTATGGCATGCACTCCTATTTCTTTGTCCTCCCATTCCTCCCCAACCTGCGTGCCCCCCTTCAAGTCCCAGATTTGAAATGACCCATCCAAGGAATAGGTGACGACGCGCTGTCCACCGGGCAAGTGTAGGATGTGTTCGATGCTGGTATCTACTGTGATATTTCGGTAAGGCGTTGTTGCTGAATTCTTGTGCTTCGCAGGAGCTGGATGCCCCACGGTTTTGGTTTCGGGATTCACTTAATGTGTGAGTCACAATTTTAGCTCTTGCCGTCAATTACCGTACAAATCGATCACTTACTCAGAATCCAGATGCTACTCGACTCATACACAGAAAGACAAAAGCTACTACGGAGTGGGCGTTTCGTTTGATGAAGATCCAAGTTAGGAGGTCGTTGTTCAAGTCTTCTATTGGTGCGTCTTTGTTGCTTTCGTTTCACAGCTTCAGCACTGGCTGTGCAGATCAAGCACATAACCATGACAATTCATCCTTCGGCATCACGGTCATATTATCCCGCAAGCTTGCATTCCTGCGTAGTAAGTTCTTGATCTCCAGATTCTCCACTGACCTCTCAGTATTGCGTTTCATAGTCTTGCTCTCAACCAAGTCTCCGGTATATTGTGACTGGTGCAATTCGATTCTTGGTGTGTATCCCCTGGCACTGTTCAAGTGGATCACATTATGCAATCCTTGTCCCCAAATGCCCCACATATGCTTTTAGACATCGTCACCGCGCTAGCCAGATGGCAATCCTGTTCACACCTTTCCAACCTTTTCCCTGATTTCCTGGCTCTAGCTCCCCATAATCCGGGGAAGGTGTCTCCTAACCGTGTGGTGCTTAAGGCATTTTCCCCCTCCGCCACCAAAAGAATCATCTCTCAGACGTCTATCGTCGCATCTGCTGTGGATGACATGATCGTGCTTCGGATATATTCTAGTCCTATGACCGTTGTTCACCCAGGCAGTTGACTCCTCTTAAATTCCATCATTATCAATCACTATAGGAATGTTCAACAAACGATGAACCGCCGGGGCTACGGACAGGACTAGCTTTGCGCTGTCATGTTACCTAAGTCCTATGTCGCAGTTATTGCACAGACATTGTTGTGCATGCTATGTGCGATGCCTTGTTTCGCACGTCCAAGTTGCGCCTGACGGGGCGGGCTTGCGCTGACAAATGCGAACATTAACCCAATGTTCACATATGTCAGTGTAAGGTCGCCGTTATAGGACGTACACAATGTCCTGCATCACATGGTAAGCTATTGTCATACGATATGACAAACTACAATATTTACCTGCAGGTAACCCATTAGAACGTTAAGGATCACGGCACCCTCCACCTCCACCTACCCTCGTTCTAGATCTTCGAATCTTGACTCGATCCGCAGATCAACAACGAGGATAATGAAGCCTGACTGGACCGGCCTTGTTCTGAAGTGAGTAAATATGAACCTTCCAGATCTACCCACTACAGCACAAGGCCGACCTTCGTTGAATTTATATCCTGCAGCACACAGTAAGTCAGTGATTATATTTCACTAACATGATATATAACATTTACCTTCGGAAAACCATAGAGCAACTACATTCTGGGATGCAAGTTTGCGGCCAGCACGAAGTTGATCAAGTTTAAGACACACCGCCCGAGGGACGCCTAAAGCTTGATCACTCCCGCGTCGGCTTGTTATTTGTGGCGATGTCTGAGTACCGGAAGCTTCTTTGAGGGGGCTTGCGATAGTTCCATTTCACAAGCTTCCCCACGGCCAATCATCCTCAACTACTCCCATAAGCCAAATGGTAGGTCGAATAAAGCAAGAGCGGTGTTGAAGGGTTGGAGGTGGATGGGTTCACAAGTTATGCTGGTGGCGACCTTATATACGTATCGCAGGTGTGAATGCATTGTTTTTAATTCATTGTTCGCTGCAATGTTTCGCTACGCCTCAGAGTGAGACATTTGCGCAACTATGTCGTGGCTCAAACACAATAGCGATCATCTACTGACAGCCCAGTAATTCAAGAGGTTTTAGCATCGACAATGAAGCGTCATCGATGATCCTTGTATGATTCAATCACAATATCCATAAGTCGACGATGTTTGGCTGGTTGGAAATCCCTCAACAAGATCTTGACGAGTTTCATATGTCTTTAGCCAAGTGTAGCATCGACTATCATATGATGATGTCAAGGTTCCGAGTCACGTATTTACTTACAGTCTTGAATCAAAATTCAATTGCATCTAGATTTCGTTCTTCGAGTGCGCGTACATGCGCTGGAATCGGAAGTGCGTCAGAGGAACATTAAAGACATATATGGACGTTTGCGCCATGCATTCAATCGATACAATCACCAAATAATAACAAGACTAGAACATCAAGACACCAAGCGACCTCGAACAAATCATATCTAGTCCAATTGCTTGCGAGAGGACTGACTTGCTGTGCTCGTAAGTAGACGATTTAGATGACACGAAAAATATGACAAATCGATAAGTCAGTACTAGAAAACGGGCACGCAATGTTGTTATTTCATAAGGTCTCCGTCACATGCACGGGTGACTTGGCACTTTCTTCTGCTTCACTACGAATCGCTACGTTCACCATGATCGTAATTCCACGGGCAAGTTGGTTGTGTAAGCTACTTAGCCTGTTTTGATGCATCAAAATGACATGCAGTCACTGGGCCTGACTGATGCGGACGAGATTGGCTTGCGTAAAAGTCGCGTCAGGGTCCAACGTAACCCAACTTCAGGGTTCAACATTACCAAAACGAACAGTTACGGACGCCAGACCTGAGCTAACCAATTTTAAAACGCTCGCAAGCATTTTGCGAGCGACTTTTCAACAAATCCGCATTTTGTGCCGAATCTCGTTCAAGCCTCAGGCCTCAATTGTCACCAATACTCCTCTTCAGCAAGATAAGCTACGTAGGCGACACTCACAGTGAACTATAAACATGCGCCATGTATGCTGTGTTCTGCACAAACTGCTGGCATTGTTTCGAACCATGGTGATCAGGCTTTCCAGACAAACTCTACACCCATATTATGTTTTGCAGCGTATAATTGGCATTTTGACTTCCAGATTTATGCATTCAAGTGATACACACGCGAGTAGCAGCACTGGTCGTCATAGGCATCAATGCAGTGACGCTGATACTTCATCAGTAGCCATCCTCCCAAGCCTCTGCCACTCCTCCGAGTCCAGGCACTCAGCAGGCCAGAACTCGGTACACACTCGCGCGGATGACTCGCTTACCGAAGAAGCCGAATCTTACCATGTTTCTGTGTCCATCACCACTTCGTTGCAGGACAACGGTACTTCTCTAATTATCAAGCCGATGACTGCAAGTGATGTTCAACGTTATAGTAAAAATTCATTCTCAAATTTAGGTTTCGAGTATTAACATTCGTTCAAATCTCATCCAGAACTTCATCCCGCAGATCATCGGCAGAGGATAGATACAGGTTTCCAGATCTCACCAGGCCAAAAGGATTTTTCGGTATTGTACGTCAATTCACATACTGTCTAAATGCGCGACATGAATGCCAACTTGCTTCCGGCAGTCCCGACAAGTTCACAGCAGGCGATATCACTTGGAATTGTCAGATTCATCCGCATGGCACTCTGTACTTCTCCAGCGAATTGGTTAGTTTGTCTCCAACATATCTGTTCACTTATTCACTCCCTCAGTTGATGTGGAAAGACGCGGATATGGAGACAACCGAAGTTGAAATTACGGTGTACACAGATGCCGACGTACGCGAGCAGTCGAACTCTGATGCAGTTGCTTCTTGTGTAAGAACGCTCCTTGAGCAAGCGCAACTCGCAGGTCACCTTGAAGGCATCCTCATGGAGCTCACCGTTGATTTATACACAAAGGATAGTGGGGAACTAGAATGCAGGTACTATTTTGTCGCACCTGATCGGCGGATTCTGTTTTGGGAAGACCATTTTGAGGCGAAGCATTTGTTTGGCGGGGTCAAAGGCATTACGAGCGGTCATATCAGTGCGTTTTTTTTTCCTTTTGTTCTAGTGGCACTACACAACCGTTGTATAGAATATGCCATGGAGGCTGAGTATTGGTGAGCTATGCGATTGAGGTAATATTTTCACCAGCCGCAAATAACAGCCCTAAATTATTTGTCCTCAGATCATACGCATTCCTCCCACTTATGAGGTTCAGGATGCACCGGGAGCTGTATCCAAGCGACTGCAAGATAACTACTGAACTTCACCGCGAACTGCAGGCAATGATCCTCCATGCCTATACCGGTGCGTCTCTCGCGACGTTTTAACCATATTTGCTCACAAATTTGTCGAGTAGATACTATCTTTTCAGAAATATCATTAGCTCCTTTTGACACAGATGAGCTCCAGCGAGCTCTGAATATTGTCGATTATTTAAACGGTGATATCTGTTCATACATTGCACTGGGCATGTTTTTTGATTCCAAGTTGAGGCATCGTTAACAAATCTGATTCGACAACAAACGATGAATCTGATTCAACTACAAATGATCAATACATATGGGCGTACGGTGCGGATATTGCTTTCTCAATGCTTTTTCTTCTTACAATAAGCCTCCATAGCTCGCTTAATGCGAATGTTCAGTATGGTGGTCTCATGCACGCTCTCATCCAGATGCAGCTAACTTTTCTTACCAGCTCGAGCTAGGCTTTCTAATTTTTACGGTGAAATAGGAACGAGGCTAGGTACAGATCACATTTGTGACAACGAAAACTCGATGGAAAGAAGACCGATAGTCAAGCTTTTCAACTTCGTCGTCCTTTTTGGCTCTCCGTCCACGCATGTCAAACAAATTGACAGCGTCTGGGTTGACCAATCTGTCAACCGTCCGCGGTGGAAAATGTTCATGAATAGGTTGACGGGCGAGTGGAGTGGACTAGCAATCTATGTAAGTTGCCGAAGCTAAATAGTATTTCCATTGTAAGCATTGAAAATGGACAGTCAACCGTCATGTTAGCTGTGGACATCAGCTTCCTCGCAGTGCCAGTGATCGGTCAACAAACTTCGGCACAAATCGCATTATACATCTCGTCGCTCTGCTCGGTAGCTTCGCTGGTCGTCTCCGCTCTTCTTGCGCAAAGCGGTGGGAATAAAGACAGCATAAACAGAGCAGTACATCTAACGTTCTACTCCCTTATTGCACGACTGACTTAGCTGTTCAAGACGGCATTCATGACGCGCATGACTCAGTCACTTCATGGCAAAGAGAACCTTGCCATCATCTTCAGCTTACCATATGCCCTTGTTATTTGGGGGTGAGTACCTTCAAATTCACACAGCGCTGCGTGGGTGTTTCTCATGGACAAATTAACATTATACAGTATGGTTTTCTTTTTCCTAGCGCTGTCGCTGGTGATTTTCCTATCTGCTGATGTCACAACTTGGTGCACTGTGGGGCCAGCTTGGTTACTCGTAGTCGGGTTTATTGGCTGGCCAGTGTGGGCAGCTAAAACACCACCGATTGGACAGTGGATGTCCTCTTTGTGGATGGGAAGTGAAAACATGACAGCAGTAGAGACTACAAATGAAGCCTAGTGAGAGACATTGTCAATGGCATTGCTACTAGCTCGTCTGCGGGTTCCAAATTGATTTGATTGTAGCTTGCCACTAGCTGCAGTGTGTTCTTGCAGTCTGAAATCGATACTAGCATTTCAAATCTACACTTCAAGCTTTACCAGCTGCTTTTCATCGAGTCCATTGAAATCTATGTCCTTGCAAACCCGGAAAGTCCGGAATTTTTATTTCATTCCTGGGCACCTACCTGGGTTGGCAAGTCGACAATTTGCATTGAACATATGATGCTGACAGTGGCTGCCATCATTGTGTCAACGTCGCACTTGGATTACACGGCGAGCAAATATTAACATTGTATCGGTGATACTCTTACTGCTCCGCTTTATCATGTCCGAGATCTCCATAATGCAATCCGACACCTGAACCGAGCTTGCGATTTCAATAAATCGTGTACATCAACTTGTATAAATAGACAGTTCTGAAACAGTCTCCAAAGACCAGACTCAGAGAATCTGACCGACAATATCCAAGGTCTCTGTAACTTTGTAAGTACTCGAGCAGTCCATCAGCCGAAAGTTGAAGATTGTCATAGTATGCAGAGGACGTGAAAAAACTATGAAGGGAAAAATTGTAGGTATCTATTCCTAGGACGAAGAAATATACCTGTCATCGACCTTGCTTGGCAAGGTGATTTAGTGACTTGACCCATGCGGTTTACATGTGCTCCGAATCACGTGGCGTCTGGTGTAGTAGGGCGTGTTCTGCGACTGCGAGTCACGCGGAGTGGAGCACTGTGCGCAGCTGCAGTGGAAGAGGGTTCAGCTCGAGCAGATACAGGAATCGCGGCAAAGAGTGGGGCTTGAGTATTTGCAGGGATCGCGGGAGGTTTACTACTACTAGTAGCTCGAGCTATATCAATATATCGCGGGCATGGACATTTGCAACCCTCCTTCACAGAGTCGCATCAGGACTGATCATCAACTGTTTAAATGTTTACTTACTGTAGTGCAACGCTTACGTTGACGAAGTTGGCTGCCTTGCATGCATTTTGCGCACTTCGAAGCCGTGCACGCTGTCTTGGGTTTTATGGGTGCCACATACTGCGGCCGCTAAGCGACAACTTGTGTAAGTACATGTCTCTGATATCAATGAGAATTCTTACTTTCAGCCTCATCCGAGAGATCGATAATAAGGAGATCCAAGGAGGTTTGAGACCAAGTTGTCCAACCGTTATCTATAAATTAAAAGTTATGGCGGGTCAATGTCAATCTAAGAACACGTGCTTGCGACACACAGGTAGACTCGTAACCAGTCTTTACTTCACGAGCCTAACACACAGGACGAAATGAGATTTTGGACAGAAACTCTCAGATTCGACGGGTTTCGACTCTCGAGAAGCACCCAGCCACTGAAGTTCGGATAAAAGGACTCGGAAGGAACTCCGCCTGAAATACACGCGGCATAATTACAACCAAGCAGTGCATTCCCCAGCCTGCAGTGGCTCCATGCTAGGTAGTAGGTACACAGACGGAAAAGTTCTGTCAACAGATCTGTGTGATGCATATCCTAGTAATTATAGGTGTGTCTTCTTTCGTTCGTTCACTGTACAGCTTGAGCACTTGCTGTGCAGAATCCAGATAATCAAGCGCCCAGCTATCTTTTCTTCCCAATATTCTGATGTGTTTTTATCTTCACTGGCACCATATGATTGTGCAGCCTTGAGATCTATATACGCCCCTCGCGCTGCATTTACGTTGACAACTCAACAGGTTATCATATCCTCCTTCCCCCCCTAACATTTCTCATCGTTCTCGATGAGTTGCTGGTCTTTTTCTTCTTCATCACCCCACTAGCCAAATTGTAACATGGCTATCCTGTCGTCCAATTATTCATTCCTGTTTCTTCCACATCTACAAACCCATACTCGGAGGAACGTGTCCGTGCAGCATCGAACGAACAAATCGAATACTTTTTTTCCTTCATCACCACTAACGCCTTATCTACCAGTGAAACGTTCACCAGATGATCTGTTGGGACGTGTGCTTTTCAAAGGATGTCTTGTGGATAAAATCGCCGTTTTAGCTTCAACCACCCGACTTCAGCAGTGCAGCAGTGCAGCTTGTCAAACATCCATATTCGAAGTGCCGACATGGCACTGAAGAGAATCCCCCTTCCTTCTTCATGTGCAGAGACCTTCCTGTCAGGGTCTGCACCACAGATCCCCAGGTCACCTATTCCAAGATGCATTCACACGTTGGACTCTTTGGAAGGCACTCTATGCTACCACCACCAAATTTTTTTAATACTATCCTCAGTAGGTGGTACTTGAGAACACCCTCGTTTCAGATGGTCTTTATTGGAGCGACAATGTATCTAAATACGGCTTCTGTATTCATTTTTTGGTACCCGAAGGTGCATCGCCGTGTATAGGCGCTTTCAATCGATGGACTTCTTCCCTGCAAGCTGTTCACGTCGCACGAACCGAAGGGTTAGTAGCGTACACCTCAACCGTTGCGTCTCTGCAAGTACGATAGCACAAAGGATATATTCATTCACAACATAGTGCAGTCCTTCGTCTCCACTGCGAGTTGATGCATTCTGGTGGGCCCAACTCGTCGATAAAGGGGGCCAAGATACTTACGCGCATGCAACATTGATCCGAACCAGTCTCCTTGAAGGAATGAACAATGTACATAATTCTGGCAGCATAATCATTGAGATCTCATCTACATCATCATCAAATTCTTCTCAGCGGTTCGTCTCCGAATACTCCTTCCTCAGGTGAATCACCAATGAATGGCGTCAGGGGTGACAATGGTGGCGAAAGAGCAATGGGCAATATATGGTATTCGGAGTCTGTCATTGACCTGCTGCCCATCGTAGAGTCGAACGCTGGGGTTAGGTAGGTTGACATGTTGTCAAACGGCAATCGAGAAGACACTGGATTGATCCCCAGATTTGAAGGCGTCCAATCTTCATACAGGCTGTGACGCTGTTGCTCCTCGGGAGTCACGGGAGACGACGGGAATCCGAAGTTTGACGACACGCTGAAGCCCGATGGTGGATAAGATAGCAGGGGAGATACTTCCATGCAGCCTTCTCTTTCTCTGTCCGTTTTCTCCTCCCTGGTCAGCAAAGCAGGATCGATCTGATTAATTCGTACTGGGCTCGACAGTTGAAGACGCTGTAGTTCAGGGGGGAGCGAGTCTGAAATGTTTTCGGGCCACAGAGCGGTCAACCTGTACTGGTCATCCTTCGTGCTGTCTTGGTAGGCTTCTGCTAGAGATGGCAAGTCACCTGGCTTTGCATTAGGATGACTGCACAGGCCCGCGAGGTCCAAGCCCAATGGGTCCAAGCCGACGCGAATTTGTTTCAAATGTATGTCACTGAGGTCTTGTAGCGCTGAATCAAGCAAGGGTGGTCGGGGACGCAAGAGCAGCTTAGAGCTTCGCGAGCACAAGGATGGCGAAGGAGTGGACGGGGAGTCAATGGGACGGGCAATATCTCCAGTTTGATCGAGTGGACCTCCGGAAAACTGCCAGCCTGTTTCAGCGGAACCCGACCGACACAGCGAACCTTGGGATTCCTCAACTTCCTCCTCCTTCAGCTCGTGCGAGGATATATTCCCCTGGACTAGTGCAATAAGCTCTGGGTTCCCGCTTCGTTTGAAAGTACACGTCGGACAAGCTTTGACGAACTGCGCAGTAAGCTCTTTTGGGACCCACGAGTAGTGCTGGCGGATAACAGTGCAGGTTTTGTCCCGACCGCCGTGGTTGGACTCTTGATGGCAGTAACAAAAAAGTTCATATAGCTGCTCCTGAACGGCAACCGGTCTGTTCTCATGGAGGATGACGACTGGTGCTTCGTTACCATCGTCTTCTGTGTCGGACGTGCTGAGCGTGAACATCTTGCGAACCCAGAAACGAAACTGTGGTGTCCCGATAGAGCATGCGTCCGGTAGGTGTAGCACATCCCAGATCTTGTCGAACATGCACTGAGATATGAGGGCCTTGTCACGCTTCCGCGGGGACAGTGACTGCAGGTATGCCGTCTCTATGCGTTTGTATTGAGTGTATGTAGGAAATCCAGGTTTGTCCGCCATATCTAAGATTGGTGAGGGAGGGCATTCATTACCGTCATCGGACAGTTCAGGACTGGAAGAATGCACAGTGACAGTAGCTCGCCGCTCGTATGGCTTTGATCCGGAACGAGCACGAGATTTTCGCTTCCGTGAGACAGCAGGCATTACAAAAATGATTGGTGTTGTGGGTTCAAAGAACGTGAAGTAGCTGTGAGGGGATGGTGGTAAAGATGACACAGGTGGTGATAAATAAGCTAGCGGCTGACCATGACGCGACTACTCACGTGATCAGAAATCAACAATTTATTGAATAAGCATCTGTAGTATATACCCAAGGTAAGTATTAAGTAACAGTAGTGAATGTGATGCGGATATGTGCAAGAACCATCAGTAAAATGCGTGTGATGCAAGAATGATATGCAATGAAACAACCCAAGTCCCAATAAGCAATGATCCTGCAAGTCGTGAATGTACGAATGAATAAGTGCTCAACACCCTCCGTTCAATCTGTTCTTAGGTACTGTCTGATTATAACTTGGGGAGCTCCACCCAGTGAGATTAAAGTTAGTATAAGCTTCCTTGTACCTGAGAATATTTAGCAAACTTCGAACGTCTTGGTTGGGATAGGGGCTTACGTTTCGATGTAAGTGGCAGTCGGGAAGTCGGGGGGATCGCACCCAATGTTGTGCGCATTTGAAGGCTGATAGACGCGAATATAGTCAATCGACATGGTCGCAGGTAACTGGAGGTCCCCGAAATCAATTCCTCCGAAATTGAGTGAGAATCCAAGGTTGGCAATGATATACTACATAGCGTGGTCAATATTTTCATGCTCGCTTACGAAAAAAGTTGTTATGATATACCATGGGCTCCTGAGAGACGATACGGGCACCAATCTCGGTCTCAGTATCAGGCCCTAGTCCACTAGAATAGACTGTCCAGACGGCCTCGCCGCCACTGATCCAAGTGATGTATCCAGCGTCAAACCTGGAGATATGTGAGCACAGAGCATAGATTGTGATCTGACTTCTGCAAACCCCGGTTGGTATTCAAACCCGTAGACGCTATAGCAACCCATATCAAACTCATAGCAATCTTGGTCCGTGAGTGAGAGACCACTAGTAGTTTGTTGAAACGCTCCTGCAACGCAACTGTTGGGTACGAATTTGGCATGAAAAATAAGCACGTACCTCCATGGTAAGGATTGAGGATAGTCATGTTTGGATGATAAATCTGCAGATTGTCGGAAGTGTTCAACCATTGGTATCCCGCCTGAGTGTGTCAAGAACAGCCCAATTGGTCATAATCCAGACCTACATTGAAAGGAGCCCATTGTGCTGATTGTGAAACCTTCATGTATTTATGAGTCAACGCTGATTGAAACTTGGAGTAAGCGAACCTTGCCAATCCCACCATCAACTGTCGCCTCGAAGATATCGATCTCCGGTGCAGAACGGCCAACGTAATTGCCATTTGTACGGACTGGACCAGGATGTGATTCACCAGGGCAGGTACAAGCAGACAGTCGTTGACCAGGCAAATATGACTGCAAAAGATGAATGAAGATCCAGAACGGTAATTCGTGCAGAGAACTGACCAAGACGCCACCATTCTCAGGATCGCCGTTCTGTACAGCAGCAAGCGGCTTGGATGTCCCAGGAAAAGTTTGATTTGGCAACGTGCCAACGTCACAACTGTCGTATGAGTATGGCCACTGAAATAGTCTGATTAATACGACCTCTTCGATAGAGGTTCACATACCAATCCTTCTAAACTAGCACCAAAGCCTGCACGACCTTTGGCGATGGTTGGTTTGAATACTCGAAGGGACGAGAGAACAATGCACTAACCTAGATTTCCCATTGTCCAGCTTGATATAAAACAAAAGGATTAATCACGTTCTCATAAAAAAAGACCAGACTCACACAGCAGGCCAAAGACCACTTTGATAGCAGGTGTTCAGCAGAGCGCAATGATCTTACAGCAGCCTACTTACTGGACATTGTTAGATCCCGGCAGGATAACGGAAGCTACAACTCAGTAATCAGTAGATATCGGCAGTAAACAACGCATATGTAGCTCACCTTCAATGAGGCCACCTGTGAAACAGAATTTATTCCTTTGGATATCATTAGTGTCGAAGGTAACATAGAGCCGAACTCGTTACCATGTTTGGACCTACAAGATACTAAATGCCTCAGTATGCCACAACGAGATGATCTTGGCTTACCATGCCTGATCTGTATGTAAGATTGTGGTTTGAGGCAGGATCAGCTTTTTCCAATGTGATTTGCAATGCGCCTCCTTTCGTTGTTACTTGGCTTGGATCGTACCATTCCAAATCATTCTGTCCGCTTTGTTAGTCTCATACAATCTATGCACAAGCCTCCACTGACCGTGCCCCAGTAGTGCAGGTTTGGAGCCTCCCAGTATGGATCGTCTCCCGGATAAAATGACCGTCCATCAACTTGAAACTCGTCAGAGAAAACAAGGTCCCACATGTCGTTTTGGTTCATGTACGATGCCTTCGTGTAGGCTTCCTTCGGAGTGTCCACATCTATGACGCCGCGGTTGCCAGGCATCGATGGAATCTGTCCCGTTGCATTGGTACCACCGAGATTGAATCCGCTCTGAGGAGTTGGCTTCTTCCTGGACAGGTGACTAACGATTGGAAACACTTTACCCGAGAACATCAGCTGCCGAATCCTGCATGCGTCTGATAGTGAGATGCACTAACTTACCGAGGCTATTGGAGGAATGTTAGTACAAGCATATTTGTGCAGTTGCGCAAACTTACAATAACATAAGCATCGATGCGACTAAGAGAAATAGGCATCCCAGGTTTGCAATCCCTCGCGCAGTGAAAATGTGACCTCCCTTGTCACTCTTAAGATCACGCTTTGGGTCTGGAGTGTGAAGGTAATCATCTGGTTCAGGTGTGTCGACGTGCAGAGCGCTCGTGCCCCAGTCTTCGGGATTGAGTTGTAAGGCATACTGAAGACAAATGTCACAAATAGCACAGATTATAGAGACGAGTGTTGGCATACTTTGTCGGCGAGCGAATTCTATCCGCCCGTTTTAATCAACCGAGAACATGGGGTATTACTTCTGAAACTTACTTCATACGTTGAAGGACTGGGAGATCTGCTTGGTCCTGCGAATCCCGTGTCATACTCGCTCACTGTTGGCGACCTGGAGCGACCTTGTGCCCTTGGAGGTAGCAAGCTAGTCGACGAGTCGCCATATTCCTGTCGCAACAGCGGAGAGTTCATGTCGTAACAGTGAAAGAGCCAGCTTTACGCTGCCGTTCAGGTTGCCTCAGGAGTATGTAGAGTAAAGAACGTGATGCGAAAGAACGTGTAGTTAGAAGATTGTCAGCGTGTTGACAAACTGGGCAAATTGCATTGAAATTGTGCCCGACACTTGGGAATCGTAAGGTTTCCGTAAAGTTTTCCATTCCGTAATGCCTGTCAGTTCCGTGTGATTGTGTGAAAAGTGAACGAGGCTCGGGTAGTGGCATATGTACTTAGCACGTTCTGCAGTTGTTCTGCAGTAATGACAGGTGATAAAAGGTATACATGGAGTGACTGCATTTTATTGTGCTTCATCGTGTTGAAGGACTCCATCAGCAAGATCATCCGGCTTGGGATTTCTCGCGGTTACTGCCACCGACAACTTCAAAGTTTGTTGGAGAAAGGACTCCGTAGTAGGTCCTATTGCAGCAACTTTGACGTGATGATATTCTGAAGGTCGGGCACAATCTTCTATGCTCGAATTGGCCGCAGGTAGGGCGAAGTGATTCCGTAGGATTGGCGTCACAAATTCAGCTACTGAAGGGGCGAAGTAGACGATCCATCCCCAGGATAATCCCTCCTCTGTTATAGATTTCAAAGTGCTGCAAATATAAGGCTGCAAAATACTTTCCTTTGACATGTTCCAAGGCAAGCGATAAATCGTGAGGGAACATGGATGAGCCTTGTGTGGCATAGACCTGGAGTGAGTCTAAAGTGACACCAGCTGACTCCAGAATCTTCGGTAATGTGTCGCGATTTTTATCTCCAGTGAGGTAGAGAAGTTTTTTGCTTGTCCCATCCGAGGGAAGATCTTTGAGTATGAATCCTGCAAGGCGTTCCGCAGTCCCCGTCTCTGAGCCACCTCGAATATCTCTGGGTGTATACAGAGGTATCTTCTCAGAAAGATCACGAAGCGCGACCGATGTAGCTTCTCCAACTGTATAGAACGGCACAGACCACCAGTCTGTTTGGTTGTGAGGTCCGATACGATGCATTCAGCCAATAGACCATACCAGATTCGGGCTTGAGAGGCGTGTTGTTATTAGCAATGATCAATGCTTGAGCCGCCTCGGACCATGCCTCGACGGCTCGCTGGCTCGTGACTATAACTCCAGACAGGTTCTGCTTCTCTGGACTGATGCTCAATCTGCGTGCTAGCTCCTCGCAGCCAACTATGACAGTTTCTAGTACCGGAACTGATATTGGATGGTATCTGCGAGACCTGAAAGCATCTTCGTATCGATCTGGGCTGTCTTGATTGGCAGCTCTCAGAAGCAGGACATTCGACATTGACCGTGCCAGTATATGTTGATGTCACGGGTGTTTGTGATGTGTGGGATCTAGGCTGATCACGGGTAAATCACTGGACTGATCGATCAATCATCATCATGAGAAGGAAAGTCACGAGATCAGCATGGAGACTCGAGTCTTCCCAGGCCGCCCCTGCACCACCCCAAATAATTTACGTGACCTTATAGTCTTCAATGATTCAGAATTCCTGGGTAAACTACAATGGCCAATGCAGAACTCTGGTCGTCGCCTGTGGTGCAGGCCCTCTTTGTTCGTTCACCTCCTGCTCCGCTCTCGCCAAAAGTCGTATGGTGTCAGGATCTAACAACTCAGATCAACCAGCTATCAGCTAATCTCAACGTCATAGCTGGTATGTAATCAACTTGTTAAGGTACTTTAGAAGCCTCTGCTTATTGCCGATACGAGTCCTCCACCTGCTCAATGACGATTTCAATGGTTGTCACGAGCTTGTACAAACCCAAGAAGGTAATCCCTATTCTGACCACTTGCACTCGATCGCCCATAGGCGTGAGCCCGACTACTGGAACTCCAAGTGAGCTTATCTGAGATATCCTATGCGCGGCTGACCGGTTTTGCCTCAGGTATTGGATTGAGAGATTCTCTCATGAGCACTTGCCGGAGATATACTCGCCTGGCGGTACCATTACTCAGGCCAAACAGGAAATGGAAAAGTTTGTAGATGCTGTACAAACTGTCGAGACTTCCGGAGAGGGGGTCCCGGACCATGAGAAGAGGCAGTGGGAGGAAATGACGATGCTCGCGAGAATCCTGATTAACTTGGAATAAGAACTTTGACTTTGAAATCGAGACTTGCGATTGTGCGCAGAAGCATCGGTACTGAGGATTGTAGTCTGCCAGCACTCGCCGAAACTGTAATCCTGTAATATCCATTCATGAACCACTGCCAGGCTCTGAAGTATGAGGCTGATATTGCGTGAAAGGCCACCCACAGCCTGAGGTTCAGGATTATCTATATCGTGTTCTCAAAGAGTACGTTGGGTGATGTCATATTTGGTTCGGGAACATCCTGTATGGACTGCTAGTCCTGCTCCCGACCACCGATGATACTAATAATCTTCTCATAGACTGTGAAGACGATACCTCCACTCGCCTGCAGAAATAAAGTTTAAATGGCTTCAACGTTGCATAATGAAAAAAACGCACAACTAATCTGGCCAGTCGCGGCGTTGTACCAGTCCAAAACCGGAAGATACCCTCCTCAGTCAAGATCCTATATCCACAGTGGAAAGAGTTACGGTACTGCTGGCGCGCTGATAGTGACTGCATCCGCGTCTTAATCACGCTGTGATTATGAAAATGATGAGCTCTCATCAGCGCATACAGGGGTAGTGCTCACTCTAGCGGCTGTGTCGCATAGACTGTCACCAGACCAGCTACTGCACCAATGCCAAACGTGATCCCCGGAGGCAACTGCCGGCCTGGTCGCGTAGTTCCCTGAACGAACTGTTTGAGAGTCGTGTATGTCGTAAAACGTACTGCAGAGTTGGCTCCTTGACGCATCATCTAGGATTCACTATTGAGAAATACATATAATATACGCGTCGGAAATACTCACCACAGGAAAGAGCCCTCGATATATGCCGAGTATGCCTTCCTGTTGAATTATAGACATCGTTCCATGAACAAGACCGCGATATTGCGGGTTGGGACGTTTGGCGTCATCGATCATTTTGGTCCTGAAATAAGGGACAAGAAAAAATTAGCATAACAAAGTCAAGATATGCATAGGCATACTTGATAGTCTCTGAAGGGGTGACAGCGATGATGGCCTCCGTCATACCAGCGCCGAGACCAGCTGTTTTCATCATCAGATAAATGCAGTCCCCGACATATAGCCCACATACCAAGTAAACTTCTAGGTGCACTGACATTGCCCTTCAAATATACTCAGCCAATTCCTTCCTCCCAGTGTCCGACAAAGATTACCTCTGCGTCTGCGAGCATACTCTTGAAGTGGTCATAGCTCACGAATCGAACACCAGCCTTAACTGAATTGCCTATCACAAGTGCCGAACAACCCGAATACAGACCCGCTACACCCTTTTCGCGTACAGTCGAGCGGATGATAGTCAAGGGTGACTCTCGCTGATCAAAAGAAGCAACACACCAGTCAGTTTTCATAACGGAAGAAAATAACCACCCACCTGCCCACCAAACTGTGTCCGGGTCTTTACGAACTCGGTGGGGTATGTCACGAATCTATCTTCTGAAGATGAGCAATGAGCAATAGGAATCACTTCACTTACGCCTCTATCGCTCCAGCAGTCGTACCCGCGATGAGAGAGTGGACGGGCTTCTCCTTCTTGGAGTTCATTTTATAGGAATTGAAGGTTCGGACCAAGGGAGGAAAACCAGTTACGATTGATCAAGAATGGTATACACCGTACTTCGGTTCGACTTCGGTTTCCACTGGACAGTCTTAGGCGAACACGCATCAGCATTGAGGTTGCCCCGGCTATTGATAATTTTCTCATCAGCCAGGCACCTTGCCGGCGGCCGCGGAGTTGAAAAAGTCAGTCAATGAATTCAATTGAAGGCCGTTCGATCAGGTTCGAACTTCGAAGTTAAAAGTCATACTTAAGCTTAGACATTGACTGGCTAGAATTTTATATACAACATTAAACAGTTCGGTATCTTCTAAAGCTCGAGGTCAATCTTTATAACAGAAGACACTGGTTTCATGCCTCGCTAATTAGTAGTATTAGCTGTCTATTGATAAACAGTCAAAGACTACTACTAGAAGGAACGGCTGTCTTCATTCTATCGAGGTCTGAATACAGGAAACCAGGCACTAGCACAGAACGTGCATGCAGAGGCAACCGTTCCGTTGCTGTTCAAGTACTTCAGAGCCAATATCACTAGTACCACTATCAAACCAAACTAGTGCTGCCGTGGTCCGGTTCGGTCCGGTTTTTTTCTGGTCCGAACTCGAACCGAACCCGAAAATTTTCAGTGGTGAGCGTGAAAAAAAAATCATTGAAAGACTAGTTTACACATCAAGTAGCTACTCCAATGACATGGCTACATATGACTGTAGCCGCTGATCCAAGAGCTAACTGATTCGATCTATACAAATGGTGAGAATGAAATAAAACACAATAACAACCAATGCTTACCGTCGATGTTAGTGGGTAATGTGAACCTGTGGCGTCTGATCCAGACAAGCAATTTGAAGTAAGCTGCCTTGTAAGGCACGCATCAGTGAGAGTGTTTGCCAGAATTGAAATCATTTTACCTCCGTCGTCAGCGAAGGAAGACATTCAGGACAATGAGAGAGGTACGTGCGGTTTGAGTTGCGCCTCCATTCTCAGATGTTGCTGTCACCTTTTTTTATACACAGAACAGGGAGAAAACACCTGCACGTCTCGAGTGAGAGGTGGCGGGTGAGAGACAGCGGGGTGAGAGACAGTGGGTGAGATACAGCTAGCACGCCGAAGAGAGATAGTATCACGGCCACCGGAAAAAATGCGTTCGACAGCAACAGCTGAGCCCGGAATAGCGAGAATATCACGAGCCAGACGTGAGAGGTCATTGAGGTATGTTGGGAGTGGGCAGCGCACCTTGTTCGTCTCCTCGACAACTTTCTTTCTCCCATTCCTCTTCTCCTTTCTCTTTCCCCCGGTGTCTTCCTTTCTCCTTCACCAAAGTGTCATCCGCATTCGCCTTAGCCACGCCAGCATTTGCTGGCGTGTGCTGGGCGCATGCGCTAGACACTGGTTGTTGCTGGAGTGGGGTAGTGGTTGCAGCAAGTGGTGGTGGTGGTGGCGGCACGGTTGACTCAATCAGTAAATAAAATGAAAACAGATATACAAATAACTACCTTGAGGACAGAGTCTTGAGAGTTGATTGATTAGTACTAATCTTCAAAAAGGCTAAAAGTAGCCTAATTAACCAATAGTGCAACTCCTGAAGACGACACTTTGACGTCGACATAGAGACTGACGTCGTCGTAGTTGAAGTCGAAGTCGAAGTCGAAGTTGACAATGGGTTCGGGGTTCGGAATGGTTCGGGAAGGTCGAACCAGAACTGGACCATTTGGGAAGATCTAGAACCGAGAACCGTTTTCCAGTCCGGTTCTGGCTGGCGCGAGAACCATGGACCGAACCGCGGAGAACCGGACCAAAAGTCCGGTTCGAACCATGGTTCTGGACCGGACCGCGGCAGCACTAAACCAAACCACATATCTTACTAGTATCATAACAACTATCGCTGAGAGAGACTATCAGTCAAACCCCTCAACTCTTCCATTTCATCAGATATCATCTTTGCAAAAGAAACGTCTATCATGCCTGCACGGCGCAGGTTGTCCTCCATTGGATGTTCCACATCATCCAGGACTTCGTTGACATGGGCTGAATGACAACCCAGCCACAAGAGTTGCAGTGCACCTGTACTTGGGATGACAGCTTGATTATCACTGGATACATCAAATGCTCTTGTCATGCATAGAGCCAATGTTATCATGATCACCGATGCAGATATCACAAACAATAGCTAGTGACTCATCGATAAACTGCTATAGCGTAGATATCGTCGAGAACTCACAGGAAGAATGTTGATCTATGGCATGGATCAGCAATGAAGAGAAGTGCAGTGAAGTTCACACTGACATTGAGACGTAGAGATATAATCTGCTCGTTAACATAGGCTGCCCCACTCCCAAATTGAAGTCCTCCATTAGATGTGCCAATTTGGTTCGCTAAGCATGTGACACGGTGAATACAGTGCTTGCGAAAGTCATAGCCTTACTTACCTGTCCAAATGAGTTGTGCAGTCACCTGCGCAATGGCAGCCTCTAGTTTATCTGGGCTCAACATGAAAGTGGACAGGGGATAACCCCCGGATTCAAATACAAAGTACTCGGCAGAAAGATTTAAGCCTATCGATGTCATGATATACCTAGAGATCAAATCTTAGGTGAGGAATTGTAGCATGGCAGCGAAGGGAAGGTTTTAACTCATCCACAGTTGAGGGTATGCTAGGGGAATTCGAAGTGCGAGTGAAAAATAAATACCCGCTGCTGACTGGGTATCCCAAAGCCACACCAATCTTGTGAAAACAGTGGATCATTGGATTTTCATAACTCATGAACTTGAACACACACCCCAGATGTCCACTGGGGCCATTGTGTAATTTCCCACTGCATTGATGGTTGTGACATAGAAATGGGAGTCAGCAGACTGTTAGTTTACATGTCAAGCACAGCTTCTGCGGTCATGGACGAAAGCGAGCATTGCACAAAATAGACTTCAACAACATATTGATTGACAGCGGAAACGTTTGCTGCAATTTTTTTGTTGACATAGCGGATTTACAAAGAAGCACAACTCACTAGGATCAAGAATTTCCCATGTTACCGGCACGGCAACCTCTCGTTGTACAGAAGACTTGATGTTTAATAACGTAGAAACCATAAGGACGACACCAGGGCTAGGAGCCTGAGAAAAGGTGTACTAGTGTAAAACAGCTGTCAGTCAGATTCCACAGCACCCGCGAACTGTCTTGAAGAATTTTACATTGACACTTGGAGACATCCAGCCCCATCCAAGCACTTGTACTTGGTCTGACCCTGTAAACATTCCTAAATAACGATGAAACCTCATTTGGAGCTATGATGACATACAGGGGTAGCTTGCCACGCTGGTGGAAAGAAGAAGTCCTTGTGTGATTGAGGAATTTACACTGATCATGCCACCACCCATAGAGTATGTGATATTAGGAAGTAATCCACAAGACAAGCTTATCGTCATTGCACTCACAGTTGCGTTTGCTGCGATAGAGTTTGTTTGTGGGGTGTCATAGATTGTATTGTTGGATAATCCTACAGAGACCAGTCCCGGCAATTTACTGACAACTGGCAAAGATGCACTGATGGATACCCAGTCAAAATAATTAATATTGATATTCGTCCAATCATTTGGCCATCCTCGTATTGTTGGCACCAAAGTTGCCATGGAAGTATTGAATGTTTGAAATTGCAGCAGAGTGGAAGAGGTGATATGCAGCACAGAAATGCTTGCAAGGTAGGCAGTCACGGCAGAAATCGCCCACCATGAAGTAGGGATTTCAATTTGTCCCCAGATACTACTGAGTGCAGAGCCAAGGCCCGCCCATGCACCACATATATCGTGAATGGTAGTCAATTTCTGACGGCGTACTAGCATCCTTGACATCGCAAGCCGTTGGGTGAGGAAGAGTAGAATAGCCATATAGATCTAGATGAAGTCCTTTGATTGGTATACCTATTTGCAGGTAAAGGAGGTCACCTACCGTGTAAAATGCTTGCAGTGAAGCACTCAGTACCACAGGCCAAAAATCGGTGTTCATTTGTGTGAATGGGAGGGTCACGCGATGTTCCCAATGAAAGATATAAAAGATAACAAGGACGACATGTATCAGGACCAGTATGGCATGCAATATGTAACATGTGCCAGCGGAGGATGATTCATTGTGTGTATTTCCTGGAAGCTTTTTCAAGTGAGACTTCCAGGACACTGGAGGAGATATAACTGTTGGCATGCAACACCGATTAACGCAACAACATACCGAACCAAGTCATTGGCGACTGAATAGAAGGATGGTTGGCTGACATGAACCACCTGGCGAAGGGATCCAGTAACCGTGACGTTACCAGGGAGGAAGACAGAGGTGGTACATACTATTAGTAGTATGAATGAACAAGTCGACATTTATATATCTAAAAAGAACGTGCCTGGCATCGCATTTTGACAACGACATGGGAACTACTGATTGGGAGAAGAACTTAGCAGTGAGTACTATGTCAGGGGCGGCCGATATGTAAAAGTGACCTGTTCAAACTAGGCAATGGCACAGGTACTAGGCTCGGGACCAACCTGGCTTATATATAATCACGGACAAGTCGAGTGGCGTAGGTATAGTCGGACCGAGAGTAGTATGACATGCAACATGTAACATGTGCCAGCAGAGGATGATCCATTGAGTGTATTTCCTGGAAGCTTTTTCAAATGAGATTTCCAGGACACTGGATGAGACATAGCTGTTGACATGCAAACCAATTAGCATAACCGCTTGGAGATTGAATAGCAGGATGGTTGTCGTCTGTGGCTGACATGAACCACTTGCCGACTCGGAAGAAATCCAGTGGCCGTGAAGTTACCAGGGAGGAAGACAGAGGAGGCGGTACAGCACTATTAGTAGTATGAATGAACAGGTTGACGTCCATAGATCTGTAATATTTGATGAATAGCCATGAATGATCAAAATACTACCCACAACATTCTCCGGCACCCTCGAATATACGTAGTTGTCTGGAGTTGTCTCCACTCGAGCCCCATGAACTGACACACATGACGTCATTCTCTCCAGCGGTCTGGATATGCATATAAGACAAAGTTGAATTCCTCTGTCAAAGTCAACAATCGTTGCCCAATTACAACCAACCACGCAATCAAAATCTATACATCAGTTCTAGTTAACAGTCAACATGTCTGGCTTCCAAAACAATACCAACAACGCTGCATTGAACACTTCTCGCCCGCAGCATCAGCTTCATGACTCTTCTCAGCCGCTACCAGGTTCCGGGTCGCGTGACGCCGTACAGACTCAGGACTACTCCCCCGCGAATATTGAACGTATGTCTTCCTCTGTGATTCATGGCAAAAATGCATCTACGGAATCGGATGATGCCGACTCCACTCGTGCCACCACGGGTATACCGTCTGCCGGGCGCACAGGTCCAGACCCGTGTGAGAGTGAGAGCGAGAGCGCTCGTAGTAACACTGCCTCTACCAACGAGCGCCCGCTCGGCGTTCAGCCTACGCCAGAAGGTATTAGCCATTTAATCATCGCGATAGCCAGCCACTAAAATGTGCTTGCAGGTGGAGTCTCAATTGGTGGGCAGCCCAACCTGTCCGAGGGTCATGCTGGGTTTGGTGACAAGGTCATCAGAAAAACGCAAAAGGCAGGTCTTGTGCCTTTCATGTGCCGTCGACAATGAGCTGATTTCCTTTATAGGTCATCGGCAAGTATACCAAAAACGAGGAACTGCATGAGAAAGGGGAGCTGAGAGAGACGGGTGGGAAAGCGGCTGTCTTGGGGAACGCGCGAGCAGCTCATGATTAAGCAAAGAGTAACAATATTGCATGACGCGTAGAATAGCTGGACACTATCCTGGATATGTACAATCAAGTTGTAGTATAATAGAGTCGCAACCAACACCAATTTGCGTAATCAAGTCACTGACACTACCGAACAACCAAATTCTCATGCATTTGATACAAAACTACAGATGCAAGTAACAACAGCCAGAAGTAAAATAAAGTTAGTGCAGCTGATCACTGCGCTCACGCGAATAGATAATGTCAGCACCTGCTGTAAAATCCTAACAACCACTACTGCTGTTGTCCCTCAAGCTTCTTCTTGCCCGAAGCAGCTGTCAAACTCTTGTGGATAAATGGTAACACGCCTCCTCCGGCGATTGTTGCGCGAACAAGGATATCGAGTTCTTCATCCCCTCGGATGGCAAGTTGCAAATGCCGGGGTGTTATACGTTTGACGCGCAAGTCCTTTGATGCATTTCCTGGCAACAGGTGTAAGAACAAGCATCTTCACTCCGGACTGAGATACTTACCAGCAAGTTCAAGTACTTCAGCAGTGAGATACTCTAATATTGCACTGGTATACACAGCGGCCTTTGCTCCAATACGCACATTGTGCTGCGTGCGCTGTTTCAAGTAACGGTGGATACGACCAACGGGGAACTAAAAGGAGGATAGAGAAAAAGGGGCTATATCAGGAAAATCGATCAACGGAAGATACACTCAAGACGGACCTGGAGACCAGCTTTCTGACTACGAGTCTGTATCGTTCTTGGTGTTGTGGTAGCACCGGATCCTGCAACTCCTCCTCCTCCTTGAGTAACGCCAGACTTCGACTTCCCTCCGGTAGATTTGGGTGCCATGAGTGATAGAGTGTGATGTTTGACTCAAGAAAGGTCTTATATACACTACGGGGAGTCAACCAGGATTACGGCAGGGCTGCAACGAAAGATAGACAACTTACCGAAAAGTACAAACACGTTGGTGTAGCACGGAGAATTTGAGGGGTGTGATCACTCAGACTATTTGAGGTGAAAAACGAGTAAGCAGTGATCAGCAAATGTGAGAAATGAAGTCAACAAGGACGCGAAGGGTGTTATGATGGCAGTAAGAGGTAGAGTCGCGTCTTTGTTTAGGGTAGGTAGTTCGGTGTTGTTGAACGAGAACGTGAATTCTATTTTTGGCCTGGTTGACGCGTGCAGTCACGTGACGGGAGCCCACGATGAGGAGCCGCTGAGTGAAAGTCTTGAACAACTTGTGACTTGGAGTCTGCATAGCAGCTTCGTCACTTTGTAGTACATCACAGGTAGGAATTAACATCTAGCAGGTATGATCGCTAATCTGTATTATCTATCTAGCTCGATAAAGATCTCGTGATGAGTTCGAGCACTCCATACTTGGACGCATTGTCCAAACACTTTCCAGCGGAATGTTCGTCCATCATAAACTCCCTGAGTTCCGAGCAGGCCCGCTCTGCTGTAGACACGCTACTTGCATTTGCATCAGGTGGTGATTGTCCCACAGACATGTCGGCCCTCGGCCAACTAGGGTGGGCGAGAGATCAACCTGCCGCCATCAGGGCGATTCAAGACCTGGCTGCACAAAAAGGCACAAAACGCGGGCGAGCAGCCAGCACTGATGAAGAAGGCGTTGGGTCAAATTCCAAGCGTCAAAAAACTACTGATGTACTTGAGGACGATCGGCCCATTTTTACACTGCCTTCGATATCTACAACCTCGCCTGTTCGAAAAAAAGTTGACATCACGATTCATGAGAAAACGATACGCTTTTTAAATCCTTCATCTCGTGCGGTGGAAGCTTCAATACCTCTTTCTAGTATTTCACGAGCATTCCTGGTACCAACACGCGGAAAAGCAAAGCAGCACTGGACAGTCGTCATGCTATCCAGCGACATGCCTGAAAAGGGTAAGGCCACAACTTCTAACCCACACCAAATAATATTTGGACTTGACGCTATAAGCGCCTCTAAATTCGATGCTACCTCCTACTCTGACCCCTCCACTCCATCCACATCAACGGTTGCGAAAGGAGAAGAGACGCTCTTCGTCCTGCGCGAGTTTCTGACACATCTTCCTATTTCTCTTCTCGAGGCCTCAGCAACTGTATTTCGCAGCGCGTGTGCCACTCCTAAATCAGGACACTGCGCAGCGGGCATCGATGCCTATTTTGCCGCCAAACCTGGAACTCTATGGTTTTTCGATTCAGGAATTCTCTGGGGAGAAAGTAAACCATGCGAGTTCTGGGCCGTTGGTGATCTCATCCCAAAAGATGGTATTCGCTTGATCAGCGCCACGGGTCGCACGTGTTCAGTCATTCTAGGGAGAAAGGCATCGTCGTCTGCTGAAGATCACAACGGCGGAGGAGATAAAGAGGATGCAGAGGGAGACATTATCGAGACAGAGTTTTCCATGGTGGACGGCAGAGAGCAAGACCCCATCAATGCGTGGGCGAGGCAGCGGAAACACTTGTTCGGTAAAGGTTCTGCTCCACCTCCCTCCAAAGCCACAAGTGGTAAGAAGGCAATGACTGAGGAGGAACCATCTGTTGGCGGCAACACTGCTACCAGTGGTCCCGCATGGGATGACTCAGACTCGGACGATGACGACTATGAGATTGCATCATCGGAAGACATTGACAATAGCAGCTCATCAGATTCAGAAGCGAGCGATGTCGGGAGTGGTAGCCAACCTGATGACGGTTCGGAGGAGGAAGACAACCGTGGAAGCGATGTTAACGGCGGCGAAGAGAGTGGTGAGGAATCTGAGGAAGAGCTCCAAGAAGCACATCATCCTCTCTTGCGACCTGGCGCTATGCCTAAGATGTCTAAGGCGACCATCAATGCAGTCGTAGACATGGTAAACGAGGATTTGATGGGGGGCAGCGAGGAAGAAGACGAGCTCGATGATTCATAGCTAGAACACACGCATCAATTTACTTCAGCATCAATATGACACGCATTGTGGAAATTCGTGGCACATGGCTTATCATCTACGTAGTCTCGAGTCTTGAAGCTTGAAGGTAAATAAGCCGCACATCCCATTTATGACTTCATGCGTTGGCCAAACCGACGAAACATTGGTGCAAAACATAGTTTAATTGTAGTAATTTGCGCGCACACTGTATTGGTCCCCCAACACACTACACGATGATAAATCGACTATGAAATATTGCAAGATGCCGAAAGGAAGAGGAGAGTTGCGAAGAATTGAATAAGACAACAGAAGATACGGATAAAACACAATGAAAATACTAGTTCCCTGATATTGACCGTCTGCATTCTGAATGGGCATACAGCAAACCCAGACCATGGAACGAGCACGCCATCTGGCAACTCTTATAGCGATATAAGGACTGGCAGTGGGGGGTGGTAGTTGTGACGATGATGGAGTGCTCTGCATTGCTCCATCGTGTTGCTGGGTAGTACGAGTCTTGGGAGGTCGAGCAAAACTGGCAGCTGGCTTCTTCTTACTTGCGTGATACTTCCTCTGCGGGAAAAGTGGTCAGTAATAAATAAGAACAATTGAGGGGAAACACATGCAGGCTTGCCTGCTGTCCATGGGACCTTGACAACAGGTGACTCTCGCCACTCGATGCCTGGTATCTCGCCTGCGCACCATGCCAGAGACTATGTTTCGAGTCCAGCCGAGAGGATAGGATCGGAATTGGGCGTCAGGCTCAGTTACCCCATGTAGCTCGGGCGGCGCCAGGAGAAGGAAAAGTGACTGAGGGTACGTTGATGTGGTACTGGAGCGGGGCGGTCATGTAGCCCATGGGATTGGGATAGACTGATGCGCAACTGACAACATATCGGTCAAGACATTGAATCATAAATGGAGATCACATACATTAGCATCTGGCAATGCATCGTCAAAGAACCCTGGAGGAGTACCTTTCAACTTTGGAGCTGGTCGCGGCGTAGCATCAACCTGAGAGAGCCGTTGTCAGCGTCATTTGGATTGAAATATATATAAGCTTACAATATCTGATAGAAGGTCAGCTTTGTTGAGGATAGCAGAAACATCCCATATGTAAGTTTGGCCGTAGAGCCAGTTAGTGACAAGGAACTTGCTATCTGCTGAAAAGATAGCAGAGATCACGTCATATTCATGGTAGTGTTGTTAATTCGATAGGTTGATCGATTTCGAGGTTCCATAATCGCACTGTCTTGCCCAGGAGTGATTTACCTGCGAGGATGCGTTCATCTGGAGAGAGTGAGATGGTATCGACTGACCCAGGATCATTGACAGCTATTCATGAACATGTGGTTGTGCTGAATTTCTTGCCCCGCCGGCGATCATCCCCAGTGAAAACCCACTGTTCTGAGAATGGCTGAGCCAGACACCTAAAAACACCCTGGAGTGTTTGAAATGAGCAATTTGCCTGTGTTAGCATTCAGATTTTCAGCCCCGATAGCCCGCCCGTGATAATCATCTTTCCATCTGGCGAGTAGCAAACCGCGGAGGTGTCGATCCCTGCGTCGATTGGTCCAAGAATAGTTTCAGACAAAGCCTACAGGATCTTCATGTATTCTGAACAATTTGAGACTTGTGTTTTGTGTCATTGTTGACGTTGAGTAAACGAGGATGTGACCTGTATGTATTTGTGCTCCCGCCAAATTCAAACACAGCCGCAGAGCAAGGTGAAAATCCGCAACGCCGAACCCTAGTCATCAAAAACCAAACTCAGATCGACAGGTAAGTCACCCGAGACCCGTTGGTGCAAAGTCGAAACCAAAACTAATAATTTGTCTAGTATGGGCCCCCAAATGAAGCCTGTGTGCTTTTATCCTTGATAGCTTCTCTTCCGTGTCTCATTTTTACAGAGGAACTATCATGCGGGACCCAAACCGAAGCCCAAACCGAAGCCCGAATCGAAGCCGAAGCTGGTGCCCAAACCCTCAAACTCTCCCAAAACAACTCATCAACCAGCTCCGAACCCACGTAGCTAGAGCCGGTGACATTAAGGAAGACAGAATTCTGCACCATTTTGACAATCTTCCCATCCTATGGTTCTCCTGCTGTGCTTATCTATGTTTCTCCAATCGTCAAGTGCGATTGCCATTTCTATCTAGCTATTTTCGTTGAGTCAAATTGGACTCATCTTGGTCGTCTCTCCGACCTTGGTGAGCTTCTCTTCTGCTTCGTTTGTCTACCGGCGGACTTGCATTCTTACTATCCTGGCTACATTTTCCGAGTCTTCGTCTAATCAATCAACTTGTCCAGGCTTGAACTTCAGAAATGTTATTGTTGAGAAATGCTTCATTTCTCTCCGATCGAAGTGCATACTCAGCATCCTGCACAAGTTCTTCGTTGTCCCAGAGCCAAATCGTAAAATTACCTGCTATCTGGTCACACCTTCCTAGCTTCCGCCCGTGCTATGCGATGACGGCAGAAGAGTCAATGGTCACGATGAATTAAATATATATGAGACAGCAAAGTACGAATGGAAAAAAAAGTCGCTTCGCTAATGGTGACCGTCTGCGTTCTGAATAGGCATACAGCAAAGCCAGCCCACGAAACGAGCGCGCCATCCAGTACAGGTGATATGAGGACGCGAGGGTGTTCCTGATGCCTCAACGGTACCAATGACGGCGGAATGCGTCGATGTAGTGGTATCTGGAAGTAGCTGTGATGATTGCGTGGCATGGATTTTGGGAGGTCGAGACGACCTGGCAGTTGGCTTCTTTCTAGCGTGATAATTTCTCTGCGCAAAAACGAGTCAGCGACAAAGGAAAATCGTGAAACAGAAAACAACGCACAGGCTTTCCCGCTGTGCAAAGGACGACCTCGACCTCTCGTAGCTCGATGTCCGATCCATCTCGTCTACGTAGTATACCGGATACTAAGTTCCGAGTCCAGCTGAGAGGGTGGGACTGAGGTCGAGTATGGTGCCCAGTTTCCCCTTGTGACTTTGAGCGACGCCAGAATGAGCGAAAGCGACTAAAGGTGTGTTGACGTGGTACAGGAATGGGGTGATCATGTGGCCCATGGGATTGGGATAGACGAATGCGCAACTGAGAACATGAGTCAAAACATTGAATAACAGATGGAGACCACGTACATTGGCCTCTCGCAGTGCATCGTCAAAAAACCCTGGAGGTATTCGAGGAGCACCTTTCATCTTTGGAGCTGGG